GTTTGGAACCATATCTATGTCACAGTAAATGATGACAGAATTTTCATTTTTAGGTGAACAATCCCTTTAAAAGTAGATAAGTGTAATCGTGCAGGAAGAAGAGCGACAGACAGACAGACGGGGACTTGCTTTGTCTGACCGCAGGAGTGGAGTCCACATGACAGCAGGGCAGGAGTTTGAGAAAGCGCTGTTTCATGTTCTTCTTCCTCTGGCCGGAGGGAGGATTACCTGCGCACATCACAAAGAACATCAGGAAACTGCTTAGCCATGCAAAAGGGACTTCGTAAATCATTTAAATTGTATTACAAGGGCACAAAACGACTCGCCAAATGGTGGTCGGTCACAGTCGGTTGGCACAGTTTGCTGCTCTGGATTGGATTCAAGAAATGAACGGGATCATCGAGTTTAAAGAACGGACTCAAATAAATGCATGAATATTTTTTGTGTGTGGGTTGAAAAGAGAGATCACGTTAGCAAAACATGCTTAAAAAAAAGTGCAGACAATGGAGTGTTGTTCAGAAGCTAAACCAAGCAGCTTTATATTGGTAAACAGCAGGTTTATGTGCTGACAGCCGAACAAACGTAATGTCAAGCTGAAATTCTGGAGGAAAAAAAAGGACAAACTTTAAATATAAACTTAGAATTATGAGGAAAACAGTGAGAAAACCAGCCCCAGCTCATTCTGAAAACGTAGTCCCGTGGACGTTTCTGGAGACCGCGAAATACGTCCCGGGAGGTACGTATGGCTGCATTTAATTTTTTTTTAAGCGAACGCTACTGGGCGGTATGACGCTGTTCCCTTTCGCGCTTACCGGCTGACCGCTTACCTCCGTGTGGAGGACTTTACCGCTGCAACCAGTTTGTCCAGTCAGCTCATCGTGTACGTTGGGAGACTTCAGATGCAGAGAAGAGGAGTTGACCATGGCGACCGGGTTCGAGTCCGGGGAAGAGCGGTTCCAGATATTACGTAAGACAAAACAGAATCCAAAAAATAAAGTGAACGAGTTCATAACAGGGTGAGAACGTGGTGAAATCCGAAAAACAAGGTTAAAAAATCAGACGAGGGCTTTTCTTTTTCTAGACGACTTTTCTAAATTGTTGCTCGCGTTTAGGGAAGTGAGTGGGCGGGCGGGTCAATCTGTAAAATTGGTTGGGTTTAGGGAAGGAAGAGCGTGGGTCAGCCGATTGGCCGGTCGCACAGTCAATCATTCAGTCAGTCAGACAGCGGCCTCTAGTGGGTTCACGCGAGAACAGCCGGGCGCGAACGACACTCGCGAGAGACATTCGAGATACGAAAAAGAGCACACAGCGGCCTCTCGCGGATTCGCGGATAACTGCAAAAATATGTACCTCCCAGGACGTATTTCGCGGTCTCCAGAAACGTCCGCGGGACTACGTTTTCAGAATGAGCCTGGGTTGGAGAAAACATGATTATCATTCCAAAAAGACAGATTCGTAAATTGTAAACTGGGAATGTCAAGAAAAAAAGAGAAATGTTAGATGCAAACTGGAAAACTAATAAAAAAAATACAAATTTGAGAAAAAGATAAGATCCGTCAGATGTTAACACAAAATTTTTACAAAAAAAGGAAAAATTTGGAGATTTATATTAATAAAATGCAACAGAAATCTAAGGGATTCCGAAAAAATAATCTAGTAATTTCATCAACCTTTGCATACCAACATTCGTACTTCACTTGGTCGATACTCTTTTCAGTTTTCTGCTGCTGATGCGTGGAATTACTGCAGCAGACCTTAAAGCTCAGCACTTTCATTACGCTATCATATTTTAAAAATTCAACCCAGTCAATAGTTCAAGATCACTGTGCTTTCTTTGAGTTTTTTTTTGTTGTTGTTGGTTTTATATGCTATTATCTGCATTTGTGAAATTGTTATTGTATTGTGTCCCTACTGCTTTATACTGCATCTGCTTTTCATGTTGCCTCTTGGCCAGGTCGTCATTGTAAATGAGAACTTGTTCTCAATTGACTTACCTGGTTAAATAAAGGTTATTATATTATTTAAAATGTCAATTATATTTCAACAACAATAGGCAGAATTGGGCCAGCGCTGCCTTAAAGTTTAATTTGCTTGTGACTATTTGTCAATTGCGTGCAAATACAGTCTTAGAATCGAGAAACAGTTTGTGCTTTTAAGCCTTTAAATGCTACCTTCTTTGTGATGTCGTAAACACCATAATGCGTTTCGGTTCCTCTTATCTGATTGGATGCTGTGAGCATGTTATTTTTGTCTGTAACTTGGTAACAACCAGTACAGCGAAGAGACAGCAACATGGCGGCAACATCAAATTATAAGGCAAAATATTCTGGAAGCATTTATGCGGGTACAAAAACAATGAAAAAAATGAAGCGAGGTTTTGCACAGTTTGTCGTCAGTTTGGCAAAACAGCCACCATTAGTTAAATCATGCAGAACTGCAGTGAAATACCTGCACATTTTCCCTACTGCTCTTTTTGTTTCTATAACACTTATTAATACATTTTATTTATTTTATATTTATTTATTTTATTTATTCATACATACAGGGACAATGTACAACATGACATGTGCCAGAGTTAGCTATAAAGCTAAGCTGATTTACATCCGTAGTCCCTGGGCAGGAAGTTGTAACAAATTTAACAGTAAAAAATTATACATTACACACTTACAATACATCGTTGTCGATAAAATGAAATCAAATCAATGTCTGCATATTTCCTTTTGTTTAAGCCAAATTTTAAGACTAGTTTTTAAAAGTGGTACTCTCTCTGATATGCACTGGTGTTTGATTCCATCTTTTTTTTGCTCTGACTGAAAAAAATGATTGTCCAAAAGCAGTTCTCTTCAGTTTAACTGAACAATCACCTCTAACCGATTTATTGACACTTTTAAAATATTAAAACTCTAAATTGGCAGACGTTATTTTTGACACATTATTTAAAACATGTGGCTAAAGAATAGCTATAAACCTTTTTTTTTGGGTGGGGCCAGCGAAAATTTTGACAGGGCAAGTAAAAAATCTGAACCACTGGCCTGACTGGGAAAAATCCTTTTGAATTAAACCCTGCTTCTTCATTCATTCATTCATTTTCTTGTCAGCTTAGTTCCTTTATTAATCCGGTTACGCCACAGAGGGATGAACCGCCAACTTATCCAGCAAGTTATTTACGCAGCGGATACCCATCACTGGGAAACCCTGCTTCTTCCTTTGATTTTATTTTTCGGTTTCAGTTTATTGCTGCAATGCTGTCACGTAGGCATATGTAGCTCCTAGGCATGGGAAGATAACCGTTGTCAAGGTATAACAGGGTTTGGAAAACTCAAGGTTTTAAAAACGTTAAAATTTTCTACTATACCGTTCCTAAGGTATTTGTATTATTTTTTATTTACTTTTTTGTTTTTGTTTTTAGGACAGCAATATCTTCAGCAGAAAAGATGCTGTTTTAAATAGTAAAAAAATCCGTTTTTGAAACAAATGAAGACAGCAGAAGCCAACAATTCATTTAGCCTGACATGTTTACTGCTCCAAATGTTTCTCAAAATAAAATTCTGTTCAAAAGGGAAAAAAAGTTTTTGTTTTTTACCCAGACATGTAAAAAGAGCATATTTTAGAGCAGTAATCACAATACCGTGATACTACGAAATCGTAATATTTTTATACAAGGTTATCATACCGTCGGAATCTTATACCGGCCCATGCCTAGTAGCTCCACCCTCTTCTGAAAAGAGCACAATCGCATTTGAATTTAAATCCACAGTCACTGAAATGCCACAATTAAGCTCAAAGTCTAATTTCTAGTTTCAGAGAATTCTAAAACATTATTTGAGTGGTATTTTGAGCTGAAACTTTAGATATAAACACTCCACAAAAAACATACATATTTGACTGGCTTTACACAGTCAACTGCCTTTTGGACTTGTTTCCTACAATTATTAGATGCCATGGCATGCTGTGTGCACTTAATTGTGCTCACAAACCATTCACGTGGCCTCCGTTTCCCATGTGAGTAAAGTTATATACTTATATACCATCTCTATACATGTATTTGTTTTATTTAAGATCATTTATTGTTTATATTTATATTTAGAGCTGTAATGCACTGCAGAATCTGACAGATTGATTAGCTGTAGACTCTAGAACCGTTATCTGAAGCGTTGTCATACAGTGTTATGCTGGAGTTCATCAATAGTCTTACATTAACTAACACAGACTATATCTGAAGTGGAAGTAATTCGCGTTTTCCTCCTGTTGAAAAACGTCATATGAAACAATGTTTAGGGACATCAGAAACTTATACTACATTTTGCTAAAGAGGCATTAAAGATCCCCTTTAAATGTCTATTTTCAGAAGTGTCTCAGATAGTCAGCAAAATGAGACTAGATTGACTTAACTGAAAAGCATTCACGTTTTTTTTGTTCCTCAGTCTCATTTGGCCTTGTGTTAAGGAGTATTGACAGACATGAAGGAGCTCATGAAGGTGAAAACAAGACAGAGGCAACAACAAAACTGGCTAGCTGAGCTGAATCCTTAAAAAGGCTAAAGTGATTACAAATCCTTAAAGGAACACTACACTTTTTTTCTGAAAATAGGCTCATTTTACAACTTTAAACAGTTTCATTTGACCATTTTTTAATCCATTTAGCCGATCTAAGAGTCTGGTGGGCAAGTGTATCTGCCTGCGGACTGCAAGAGAGTAGTAACATGAGGGGTCGTAACTTATATTAAGTTAGAGAGGCGTAACTTGCAGTTATCGAGATCATATTGAGCCATGCGAGATGTCACAACGAGATGTTGTTGGCAACCCTGCTAGCCTAGGCTGGTTGGCTGGTTTTAGCTGGTTGACCAGCCTGGTTTTAGAGGGGTTTTGGCCATTTCCAGGCTGGTTTCCAGCCATTTCCAGCCTGGTCTTAGCTGGTCAGGCTGGAAAATAACCAGCCAAATCCAGCTAAAACCAGCTTGACTAGCCTGGTTTAAGCTGGATAAAGCTGGTTTTGGCTGGACTCCCAGCTTGGCTAGGCTGGTCAAGCTGGTTTTAGCTGGTCATCTCCCAGCCTGACCAGCTAAGACCAGGCTGGAAATGGCTGGAAACCAGCCTGGAAGTGGCCAAAACCCCTCTAAAACCAGCCTGGTCGACCAGCCTAGGCTGGTTTAAGCTGGATTTTTCAGCAGGGAAGATGGCGGAAACCCTTAACGGAGAACATTTTCAGCAAATGTGACCGCAGCTGTAAGGGTTTCTCCCGAAGAAAAGTCTCTCAAAGCAAAACGCTAGCAGGTGTCTCACTCTACGCCTCTTTGCCCTTGTTTGGTATCCCCTGATTGGTGCGATGACGAGCAAACAAAACGGCGATGGTTGGCCACGCCTACTGATAGCTTCTTTTGGGTTCTTCATAAACCTATGGGTGACGTCACGAATACTACATCCTCATCTTTTACAGTCTAAGGCAGGCATGACCAACCCTGTTCCTGGAGATCGACCTTCCTGCAGATTTCAGTTGCAACCCATATCAAACACACCTGCCTGTAATTATCAAGTGCTGTTCAGGTCCTAATTAATTGGTTCAGGTGTGTTTGATCAGGGATGGAACTGAACTTTGCAGGAAGGTCGATCTCCAGGGACGGGGTTGAGCACCACTGTTCTATGGTTATGCCCCTCTGTCTTGCAGAGCTTGCACTTTTAGCAAAGCTTAGCATCAATCATTGAATCAGATTAGACCATTAGCATCTCACTCTCAAAAGGTCAATTTTTAAGTGAGATGCTAATGGTCTAATCCGATTCAATAATTGATGCTAAGCTAAGCTAAAAGTGCTCTCACCAGACAAGAACATCTGAATACATTCATAAATGTAAAAACTGAACTCAAGAGGAGTTGTAAAATGAGCCTATTTTCAAGCAAAGTGGAGTCTTTCTTTAAAAGAAAGAGTGCAATCAGATATATACCTAATTAAAGCATTAGATTACCTATATTATAAACAAGGAAAAGGGCAGTTTTTCCACTGTTTAGCAATGACTGCATTAACATGTTTTATACTGTAATGCTAAAGTGGGCAGTGGCACAGCTGTGACACTGACAAAGACAAAGTCTGACTATAAAATGAAACGTTATAAATTATTCAAGCAACGTTATAAAGCTTTTGTTATGATAAGATGTGAGATAAAGCATGAAACGAGTCGAGTGATTTATTTAGACCTACTGTATTTAGCTCATCTGCTCAAAGTTCGATTAGTAAAATGGTTGGTTTTCCTTCGACTTAGTCCCCTAATTCATCAGGGGTTGCCACTGCGGAATGAACCGCCAGCTTATCCAGCATCTGTTTTACACAGCAGATGCCCTTCCAGCTGCAACCCAGTTCTGGGAAACATCCATACACACTCATTCACACATAGGTTTATTCCATTCATTTATTCCATTTATGTGTTTGGATTGTGGGGGAAACCGGAGCTCTCCACACAGACATGCCAGGTGACCCAGCTGAGACTCAAACCAGCGACCTTTTTGCTGTGAGGTGACAGTGCTAACCAATGCGCCACCGTGTTGCCTCTATTTACCTTTGATTTCACAGCAAATTTACAAACCAATAACTTTAATCTGAATATAACAAGCTAAAATACAGTATACATTGTATATTTTGAGCATACAAAACAAATATGAAAGAATAAGCTGATCCCAAATCAGCTGTTTATTCAGTTTTATTCAAATATAATATACTATATAATATAATTTCACTCATTAACGAGTGAAATAAAAAGTTGTGATCATATTTCAGTGAATAAAATCATAACAAGTCGGAGAATAATCGATGAAGAGAGGTAATAAATACACATTCAGTCAGGCGTATGCAAAATTAGCCTATATTTTAATATCACCACAGGATATTGCTAATATAATCTAGATATAGCCACAATTGTGTCATGTTCAAGTACTTTAAGTAAAAACCTAACCAGATATACAACAAAAAACAAACTGAATTGCCATTCAGACAAGTTTGGTGTCAATAAATAATAATATTTACGGCTAAAGGTCATTTAAATTTTACACACAAACGTATGAAAACACGATGTCACATCAATGTGTCATATTAAGTGCACTTACCAGTGAGCAGGTCATTGGATCCGTCACATTCTCCAGAAGTATTGAAACTCTCATCTCTGGATTTCACCTTCATTTTGTCTTCGCGCAAAACAAAAAAGCCCCAGTCAGATAAAACAGCCTACATTTAATCCCTTTAGTGTTAAATAAAATTGAGTTATCCGTCTATAAAGCCAGCAAGTGTTAAGTGTGAGGCTTTGGAGTGCGAATAATGTTGTTACACTTCCATTAGAAAGTTCCCGTCGATCTGCGTGCAGGTTTGAGCTCGCTCCGGTGTCCGGTTCATTGATGCGGAGCGTGTGTACACTGTTCGGAGTGTACTATCAAACCTCACTGATTGTTATTATAAGAGCCTATATATATGGATCCTATACAGCCTATATATCTATATAATCGCCTTACTGCCATCTGCTCTGCCCTGCTGCATCATGAATGAAGCTGCTCAGTGAAACGGTGTCTCCTCAGTCACTCACCGTGTCATCATTGGAACGTTCCAAATCTTAACCGTTTTGTAGGCTGTAGGGCGTTCCAAATCAGTTTAAACGACATTTCGTGATCATGTCGTCATTCTTAGAACACTCCAAAGGAACGTGTGGCTCTTTTGGATTGTTTACATTTACATTTAGAAACAGGCAGCACGGTGGCGCAGTGGGGCAGTACTTTCGCCTCACAGCAAGAAGGTCGTTGGCTCAAGCCTTGGCTAGCCCTGCTAAAAAATCCAGCTTAAACCAGCCTAGGCTGGTTTAAGCTGGATTTTTCAGCAGGGAGGTCAGCTAGCATTTCCGTGTGTAGTTGCCTGTTCTCCCCGTGGTGGTGGTCAGGTGTCCCCCAGAAGTCCAAACACATGCTCTATAGGTGAATTGGGTGGGCTAAATTGTCCGTAGCAGGGCCGTTGCTAGGGTTGAAAAGGATAAGGGAAGCGATTTATAATTCGATAACTGAAATAGCATATTACAGTAGAATAAAATAATATGCTAGATGCGTGAACTGACTGTGATTTAATTATTACAGAAACAAATGACTGGCTATATCATATATAGATAAATATGTCTAGATATCTATATCATATCTAGAAATGTATAACAATTTACGTTTATCTAATTCGCATGTGTTTACATTGATATGATGCACATTTTATTTCACCAAAACTACACACATTTTATACTGTGAAAACAAATATTAAGCTTCATCAGTAGTAAGAACTATTCAGTTTGGCAAACAGTTGTAATATTACCTCATCAGCTTCAGCTCCTCAAAATAATGAATGAATGAGTGCAGTGGCAGGATTTTTTTAACACCATGTGACAACAGTGCCACTTCCACCTGCTGATAGAAACAGGTACTGCAGAACAGCTGACTATATAATTACCCGACACAAACGCTGCGTTAAGTGGAATGCGCGTGATGTGGTAGATTTCAGTACAAACTAAATAAATGTCAAACAAACTATTTTTATTTAAGTGCAACATATTCCAAAAGATGAGGGGCTTTTGACTATACAGTAGCATCAAGGTTTGTTTGAGCCCGGGACGACCATGGCTTGTTATTATGTGTATATATATTTACGCTGTGAAAGATCTCTCGGCTGTGTAATTATAAACATGGCGGTTCTTTTGTTTTCATTCTGGTTTGTTGCGTAAGCGAATGTTGTATTTCTGTAAAGCAACAGCGCGTCTAGCTCCGCCTTTTGGTAACTTACCCTTTCTCGAGTTTGGTACCCCTTGAAAGGGTGCCGAAAAAGTGGTACGGTTTGGTTAGGTACGCTTTTATGGCCATTTTCACTGTCAAAAAGAGTATCACGTATCACGTATCACGCTTTCAAAAGGGTGCCGAAAAAGTGGTACGGTTCGGTACTCTTTTTGACAGTGAAGATGGCCATAAAAGCGTACCTAACTGAACCGTACCATACCACTCAGTAGAAACAGGCCATAACAGTTTACCCATAATACAGCCATGGCCAGCTGTCAGGTGATGTTTTTTTTCCTTTATTTTTATGCCCAGTACTTTTTATAAATCCACTTAAACACCCTAAATACATTCGTTTTATTTTATTTTTGGCTGGGGTCGCCACAGCGGAATGAACCGCTTTTCTGAAAAGAGCACAATCTCATTTAAATTTAAAGTGACAGTCACTAAAATGCAATCAGTACCAAAGCCTAAAGGGTCAGTTTCAGAGAGTTAGAAAACTCTAATTGTGGTGTATTTTGAGCTGAAACTTCACACACACTCTATGGGACATTAAAGTTTACATCTTTTTCCCCAAATGAAAAGTTTTCAGTCAGTTATAAGTAACACGATGACTTATGAATCAGCATTATTATTGACTAATAATTAATTGACACTTGACCTTAGTCAGGAACACAAAGTATAGCTTGCCGACTCTCCCAGATCTCCTCAAATGAGTCAAATGTCTAAATAACATGAATAAATCATTCATTTGCTTTGGTTTAAAAATTTTTGCACACATTTAATATTTTATAGACCCGGGCCACTAGTGCAGGGATAAAAGACTTATATTTAGTTTTTGTCTTTGACTATTTTTAAACCACTCTCCTCCTAAAAAAAGAATCCTCCTCTCTTCTTCTGAAAGCCGTATCAATGACATAATTCAAGTGTGAATGTATATATAACCATTAGGACAACTGTAGGAATCTGTAAGCACATTATTGGGTTTATATTTATCCAAGATCTGAAAACACGAGACCAAAGGAAAGCACATGAAATGACTGCAGATTCGAGCTCTGAGCATTTCACATCACTCTAATAATAGGATACTCCATCAATCCACCTTTGATGCATTTTATTTAAAAGGTTTAGACTAAGACCTGCCAGAGTCAACTATTTAGGACTATGTAAGATCTGACGATGTTAACAATTCAGATTAAAGCTATATCAGATATGCATTCAGATGTTACAAATAACAATAAAGTCCACGTGAACCAGTAACAGTATTGTGATGCACTTCCAACTGAATCAGAATATTCAGAAGGGGGCGGGGCTTTCATTTGCGCATCATTCTCTCATTATTGACCTTATTCTCCGCAGACGAGCGGGCGCTGCTATTTGAATCTTTTTGGCACGAGACTTCCGGTCTCATTCACTTCCATTCATTTTTAGACATTAAAAACTGCTCGTTTCGCTGTTTGATGTTGCAAACTGATATTTCCTTGTTATATTATTCTACTTGGCCTGTATAGTCATGCAAACATTTGTTTGTAGAGCAAGTAGTTTGACCGTTTTTTGCCGTTTATTATTCCTTGTCATTTCTCCCATAGGCGACTGAATCGGAAGTTCTCAGACAATCGCGAAAACAGGCACACTTCCGCATTTTAGAATAAGGTCAATACGGTCAGTGTTTCCACATGCAGCTGACTGATTCCAGCCCTAAAACCCGCTTAAAAAACAAAAAGCACCGCCCAGAAATCTGGAGACTATGGTTGCGTTCGAAACCGTATACTCAATTTCAATAAGTACTTGCTTAACGAGGACTAAAAGGCCGCATTTAAGAGTAGATACCCAACATCCAAATCTTGTTAAGTACAAATAAAATGTTTCCCAGAGATAGGTTGCAGCTGGAAGGGCATCCGCTGTGTAAAACATGTGCTGGATAAGTTGGCGGTTCATTCCGCTGTGGCGACCCCAGATTAATAAAGGGACTAAGCTGAAAAAAAATGAATGAATAAATGAATGAATAAGTCAACAACACATGCAACAAAGCTTTATTCAAAGCAATCATGCATAAGAGACACAACCGCATGTTATATTATAGCACCATAACATGGTCATTTTTCACACCTCGATGAAAAGTTACTAAGCAAAATGTAAAATTGGGTATTAGAGCACCACCTTATGGACAATTTTCATGCCTTGTTGTGAAGTTATTAGCAAAAATCGGAAAGGAGGACACAGAGAACGGACAACGTTTCAATGACATTATTAAATGAATAAATAAAAAAACAAAAGGGTGGCAGCGGTCCTTCGCGGTGACTACCGTCAAACTGAAAACAAACCAAACATAAGCTTTAGGCCCAGTCCTCTTCCTCTATCATCACTGTTTGTTTTATGCTTTCGATCCTCCATGAGACTCCAGGCCGGTGTGCGTACAGGTGATGCTCGTCATTTCTGAACATTTCACGGGTCTGGCTGAAATCTCCCATTCAACCTGCAAACAAGAGCTTCTTTCACACATACAGACCTTTCCGGAAAATTGCCGGCAATTTTCCGGAAAGGTGTGTATGTGTGAACAGGTCCTTTTTGAAAATACCGGTAAATTCGTTCTGGCTATTTTCCGGAAAGAGAAGTTGTAACATTACCGGCAATTTGCCGGAATGCTGCGCTGTGTGAATGCAGAAGGAAGATTGCCGTAATAAGCGCGTGCACGTCTAGAACGTGCTGATGTGAGACGTCTGCTTTAGCCAATCACAACAGTCAGACGCATTTACGTCTGCGCGGTTTGTGAGAATAAAAGCCTTTGAATATTTTTCCAGACACATTTAGCTGCTAGAAGTTAGTCAGATCACGTTTATATGTTGTTCTTAATGCCAACTGTGTAAATAATCATCGATGAGATGCTTATGATAAGCCGTTGTTTGTTTACCTTCAAGCTTTGCGTGTGCCTGTGAAACAGCCTGTGAGCGCCTGCACACGCACATATTATGAACATCTCGACATGCGAAAGTGATTCTGCGACAGTTGTTCACAATACTGATCATCCACAGAGTTTGTAAATTAGTCAAATGTTTACAAACACAAGCGCAGCCGTTTAAAGCTCATTTGTGGTTGATGATGTCAGAATTTACCGGTATTTTGGAATGGATGTGTGAATGCTCTTTTCCGGAAAATTTTCGTAACGTCCTCGCCTGTAAAGTCGTTCCGGAAATTTTCCAGATATTTACCGGTATCACGGTATCACTGTGTGAAAGGGGCTAAGGGCCACGTTCTCAACTCTGCGCTGCCTAATTCATCGTTTAGCCGCGTCTCATGCGCAGCTCAAAGCGTTTAGGGCTAATCTGATGTTCAAATAAATAATGTAAAATGTCTTTGACAAGAATAAAAATCAAAGACACACAATCTGTAGAGTTTCAAGATTGAGATTTTTTGTTGTTGTCCTTTTCTAGTCCTACTGTCGGACAGATGTGTGTTTAGTGGTGCATAATCCGGACCATATTGTCGAGTTTGGAGAAAATGAAAGTGAAAGGAAAAAAACGACGACGAAGGAGAAATGAACAGCTGCAAAAGAAGCTGCTGAAGAGGTTTAGAAAGTTACACAGTCGGAAATATAATAATAAACTAAACAAAGATCAAGAGTGTAGAATAGAAAAGAGCAAGTGTGTTTGGGAAAGATATTGAAAATAAATATGATAAGCCTCTGCTTTATTTACAGAGGAGATCAATGGAGATCTTTAAGCTGCTTTTCAGAAAATCCATCCGAACATAAACCCGCAGGGAAACCAAAGCACACCCATCCATCTCTTCAGACCCATACATACAGAAATGAGAGATCAGTCTGTGATCAATATTTAGAGCGTTTTCAATATTTATAATCACTTCTGTGCACTTTTCAATTGTGACACTAGCTGCGTTTGCATCAGCCCGTGTAAATGCACATTTTGAAATATTGTATTTAAAAAATAAGTGATTTGTAATAAACATTACTTAAACTCCAGTGCTATTTTAGGATTTCCGCCTGGATTTTGCCTAACCAAATTTAAAGGCTTCCCAAATCCCCATGCAGAGGTGTAAATGCAAAAAATCTGGAATCATTTTAAAGAAAACCCTTTGAATTTTCATGAAACACTATTGAAAGTGTTTAAAATAACTGTATATGTCGTCTGTGTTATAATAAACACCTAATAAAAGAGGCACGTTTTGTATTGTTTTTTTATAAACTCAAATTTAAAAGTGTAACTTTGAGGTTGTGTGTGGTCTAGCGAGCTGTAATTAATTTTGCTGATTCCTGCACATGTCTGTAATCATAGAGAACAAGAAAAATGTCTCCACCATAATCTATGCAAAAGTTATTTTATTCCAACTGATGAGAGGTGCTGTACAAGCCACAGGGAGCGATCATTGTTTTTCATATTTCACTATTCTTTTGTTTGATCAAACATAATTCACTGTGCTTGGACCATGTCAGACATATAAAAGGATTACTTATGCACATCACCTCAAAAACAGAGAAGAAAGGCCCTGAAGCGCACAGCATAAGAGATGACAGCTGTCTGTGCTATCTGGGGCTGCTTATTGATCATAAATGTGATGTTTTCACTTCTGCGGCATGGAAACACCGCCAATCATTCGGCAACTGTTTGATATGTGAATATAATTCAGTAAAAAGAATGCTGGAACCGTATGAGCACCGGCAAGAGCTTTCATTTGAGCTATAACTTGTGTCATATGAAAATTTAATAATGACCCAGTGTTCAATACCCAACTCGGGTATCCAAAATACTGTGTATTTAAGTGTAAATAACTTTTGTATAGTATAATAAAAACCAAAGAGATGCATATGTGCATAAAATATAGATTCTACACCTTTAAACGAAACCACTTAAGGGGGTCTGGTGCAATGCTAGCCCTTTAAATCTTAAAGCGAAGTCGATGATGTCACAAACCCGGTACCGCAGAGTTTACCTGGTTAATTTGCTGGGAAAAAAAGTTGTTACGTTCGCTTGAGGTGGTTTTGGACTTGTGTGAAAGAGTTTAATGTGAATAATGGGATATAGGAACACATTTGCCGAGTGAAATCTGACATAGCAAACATTACACGTGACCAATCAGCTCCATTGTGATTGCCTTGTTTACTGCCGGTTGCTAGGTTACCAATACTACAGTCAGCCACTCTAACAACCTGATGGAAACACACCTAAGGGGTTTTTGTGTTTTGCAAATTTCATCCATTGTTGTTTTGCAGGAGAAATCATGCTATTCGACTAAACCTAAGATCAGGGGTGCCCAAACTCGGTCCTGGTGTCCTGCACAGTTTAGCTCCAACTTCCTTCAACACAACTGCCTGGAAGTTTCTAGTATAGTTTGATTATCTGGTTCAGGTGTGTTTGATTGGGGTTGGAATTAAAATAAGCAGGACACCGGCCCTCCAGGACCGAGTTTGGACACCCCTGCCTAAGATTGTCAAGTCAATGAACACAAACCAAGACACTGGCCGTCGTCTTGTATGTTGTACAAATATTTAATTAGGAAACAGACGCCAATAAATAAGAATACTAAGGCGAAAGATGTCAAACACTCATCTAGAACCCCAGCCAAGAAGAATTAACAGAGATCTTCCTTGAAATGTGTTCATTTTATTCACATATAAGTTGGTTTAAGATGAATTAGGTATCAGAGCTGGTTTGGGTTCTATATAATGGTCGAAAACAAACCAACAGACAGCAGGTCCTCTAAAACTGGTCTCATGCAAACTAGCTTTAATTAGCTTGTTAATACATTGGTTTCTTTCTTTACCCAGTGTTACACAACCCCACATGCTGCCGTCTGCACACTGCAGCTTCATTTCCGTTCATGATAGCACACTGGAAGCTCTTTCAATACTGAGAAATCTGAGGATTCAGAGACTGTCAGGTTTTAAAATAATATTTAAAAATGTATGCATTCATTCTTGATGGTGAATCTCATGAAAACTGTTGTGAAATGTCCAGGTCACATTTTATAAAGCATTTAGGTTTCACTTTTAAAAATAAAAATTAAGCCTAATAATTTTTTGAAAGATGAGAATTTTAGGTAATTTATTAATGAATTTCCCATTACTGTAATATCCAAGAATTATCATATTTTACACTGTAAGCGTGCATTTTAATAGAAATGAGCAGCAAGATTTCCATTATTAGAGATGGTGGTGCATTACTATAATGAGAAGGCAGTTAAGGTCAAATCCTCATTACCACAACATTCCAAAAATATAAGAAAAAAAAGACATAACTTTGCATTAATTTAGTATGCGCTGCACTGAATTTACTGCTTTCAATATAAAAAGGCAGGACAATGATCAATACTGGGTAGTAATGACAATGCGATGTTCATTTTTAAACATAAACCAATAATACAAAACTAGAAATAAGTAAAAAATAAAACCTGTTTTTGGAAAACTATTATTTTGTTGTATTGTGATATTACTATATTATTAAGCATTGAGCAAATTTAACTCCAGTTTCACTCAATTCACACCATGGGTACTGAAAATAAAACATTTAGATACTTTGCATAGTTGTGTAATTAAATTTTCTTACAAATTCCAGTCAATTTCGCACCCAATGCTCACTACCGTGATATACAAGATATATATATATATATATATATATATATATATATATATATATATATATATATATATATATATATATATATATATATATATATATATATATATATATATACATACATATAAAATTTTAAATTGTAAATATGCATTACGGCAAGATGTGCTATATTGAATTAGTTTTCTTTGATTATCACTACCGCATTTTGAAAATCAGAATGAGATTTTGGTGCATTACAGTAATGAGAGGACAGTTACGCCATTATTACATCAAACATACAAACAAATATCTAATATTCATAGCAGTATACCTGTATTATATTATGACTAAAACACAAGGGCAGAAAATAATCTTTGCCAAATCAGAATTTAGGTGAATTACGGTAATGAGACTTATGACAATTTTACACTAAACTATAATTACCACAAAATATATAAAAATCTAATAATAATTATAACATCATGTACGCATTATGGTAGAATGTGTTATTCTGAATTTATCGTTTATCTCCTTTAAAAAAAGACCAGAAAAAATGAAAATGACTATACATTACGGTAATGAGAAAGAGATTTTCCGTACATTGTTGAAATAAGAATTATTTTATTTGCCTTTATAGTAATCAGAATTTAAGATTATTTTACTACAATTTAACTAATTTTACATCATGTGCAATTTAAATAAACTAATTTAAGAAGCAATTAGATTCTTTGCATTGTTATATCCTTGATGTTTTTCACAAATTCAGTCAACTTTGCATCAAATGCTCACTACCGTGATATACAAAAAAAATATAGTAATCAAATTGTAGCTATGCATTACAGCAAATAGTGCTATATTGAATTAACTTGGTTTGATTATCATTACTTTAATATGTAAATAAGGATAAGATTTTGGTACATTACGGTAATGAGAGGACAATTAAGCAATTATTACACCAAATATACAAACAAGTATGTGATATTCATTGTAGTATAACCATATTATGTTTTTAGCAAACCGAAAGGGCAGAAAATAATCATTGCTGAATAATGATAATTGGATTTTTGGGGATTTACAGTAATGACGAATGGCGAAATTCGATAATTTCACACCAAATTCTAATTACAACAATATTCCTAAACATTTTATAATAATCATAATACCAGGTAAGCATTATGGTAGAACATGCTATTCTGAATTTATTGTTATTTATGTTATTTAAAAGGTCAGCAAAATAAAATTCACTGTACATTGCGGTAATGAGCAAGAGATTTTTCGTACATTGTTGCAATGAGAATTCTTTTATTTGGCATTATAGTAATCAGAATTGGTCAGAAATCAAATCGTAAATCATGACAGCTTTATTTCGTTGACCTAGACATTTCCTTTCCAGTTTTCTTTCGCTATTTTATTTCCGTTCACACATCTGGACACGAAAGCGGCATATAAAGAACAGAAGACATTGGTTTCATCAGTTTGGTACTAAGGCAATGAAGAATACATGACAGAAACTGCACCAGAGAGAAAGAAAAAATAAAAATACCGTGTAGTCAGAATCAAAATTCACATTGTGCAAAGTCTGGCTGATTGCTGCTTTTTTTGTGTGTTCGTTTTTTCTGAGTCTGTTCTGAGTGCAACCAACCTCACACACCGCATCAGTAATCCAGCTGTGTCCTCTGGAAAAGTCTGCTGTAACATTGAGAAGCCTCAGATGTGTGGAGCGATAGATGTGTCAGTATGGAGGGTCCTAAACTCAGGACAAAGGTCCCGTAGTTTTCAGGATATGGAGGAGAACTCCTTCAGCAGGACGTCCTGACTCATGGTGGTCAGAGACACGTTCTTCCTCACGTTCAGACTGATGGAGCGCACCTAAAACGCAGACAAAACCAGCATCAAAACAACTCCGTTTACTGGAGAAGCAGGTGTGTGCGCACGGTCATAAATTTGCTTCACATTAAATTTTTACGCCACAATGAACTCCTGAGGGCAAAGCGATTTGTGCTCAGTTAAGTGAGGAAGGAAGGGCTGGAGAGCTAAAAACAACTTTCAGCTCTGAAATGATCAAAGAAAACAGACATTTTGTCATATAGTTATGGCGTCACAGTGGATAGCACAATCACCTCACAGCAAGAAGGACGCTGGTTTGAGCCCCGGCTGGATCAGTTGGCCTTTCTGTGTGAAGCAAGGTTATAATAGTTTTGGACTTTACATTAGTTTTAGTATCTATTTCGTTTTGACTTTTTTGATTTCAAATTGAGTTAGTTTTAATTAATTTTGGAGTCAGGTGTACTGGTTTTTATTAGTTACTATATTTTGAAATAACTATTTTTTATTAGTTTCAGTATAAGTTTTAGTTTTTTTTTCTAAATGAGGATATTTGTTAGGTGCAAGGTTCAAAATCTACAGGATAAATATTGTATAATAAAAACTCAGCCATACATTTTTTTGAAACCTGTATTCAGAGAACACATGAACACTATCATCTACCCATCCTCAAACTCAAATACAACAGCCCACAAGACTGCAGCCTTCAGTAAAAAATGTGTGCAAGGCCGCTTCTGAGGTTAGACACACAGTAGTGATGGGAAGTTCAGATTTCTAACGTGGATGTTAGGACTCAACATTATGTAGTCAGCAATAGTCATTTCAGTCAGTTAAAACATCACTATGATCTGAAAAATGTCTTACAGTAAAGTTTTGCAACCCAACTGAAGCATGATTCACCTATTTAAATTTCATTTGGATTGTCTGTTATGAAATAAACTTACATTTTTCACTAGATTCTACATTTAAGGCCTCGGTTTACCCGCGCTGCAGTTGTTAAAGTTTAGTTCAGGCACACAGCAGGCTGAAGGCCTGTGTTTGTGTTTGGTTCACTGAATCTCGCATGCGCAATATTATCGGTTTACCGCTTGTTGCTGTTCTAATAACTGAATGAGAGTATATATTGGATTATTAAGAGTCAGAGGGGGGTATTAGGCATCTTAAAAAGTAAGTATTTTGTGGATAAGTGCTTACTGGAGATGCAAATCGTTTCAAATGATTCAGTTCGATTTGGTGAACTAGTTCAACCGGTTCACTTAGAAGATCCAGTTAAAAAGATTCGTTCGCGATCGCGATACAGAAATAAAACCCATTATTGGGCACAAACGTGGTAAAGTAATAGTTTGAAGAGTCTGTATTTAATGCTTTCACCGTGCTACTGTCATGTTCACTCGTTGTTTTTGTCACGTGAGCAACAGCGAGGATGACTGGAGGAGAACCGGCTCGATCTGGCCAATTTCAGCCGGATTACAGACTCTGAGGTGCCGTACGGGTCAAAAACCTGCAGAGCGAATTAGATTTACTTCTAAACCGCTTACAGTTAGATTATGTATTAAATACATTTACAAAGACGAAATTAAAAAAGGTTTTTGCTATAATTCTAGTTAGTTTCAGTTAGTTTTGTATGTACACAATACAGTTTCAGATAGTTCTAGTTTTTTGAAAAAACTCTCGTTTTATTTTTTATTTGAGCTAACGACAATTATTTTACATTTCAGTTTTCGTTTTTTTTGTTCGTTTTTATTAACTATAATAACCTTGCCGCGCTGCAGTTGTTTGAGTTCAGTTCAGTCACACAGCAGGCTGTACTGTTTGTGTTTGGTTCACTGAATCACGCATGCGCAGTATTATCGGTTCACCGCTTCACAATGTAATGTTACTGTTCTAATAACTGAATGAGAGTATATATTGGCACATTTAGAGTCAGAGGGGGGTATTAGGCTTGTTATAAAGCAAGTAGTTTGTGGATAAGTGCTTACTGGAGATGTGAATCGTTTCAAATGATTCAGTTCGATTTGGTGAACTAGTTCAACTGGTTCACTTAGAAGATCCAGTTAAAAAGATTCGTTCGCGATCGCGATACAGAAATAAAACCCATTATTGGGCACAAACGTGGTAAAGTAATAGTTTGAAGAGTCTGTATTTAATGCTTTCCCCGTGCTGCTGTCATGTTCACTCGTTGTTTTTGTCACGTGAGCAACAGCGAGGATGACTGGAGGAGAACCAGCTCGATCTGGCCAATTTCAGCCGGATTACAGACTCTGAGGTGCCGTACGGGTCAAAAACCTGCAGAGCGAATTAGATTTACTTCTAAACAGCTTACAGTTAGATTATGTATTAAATACATTTACAAAGACGAAATTAAAGGAGGTTTTTGCTATAATTCTAGTTAGTTTCAGTTAGTTTTGTATGTACACAATACAGTTTCAGATAGTTCTAGTTTTTTGAAAAAACTCTCGTTTTATTTTTTATTTGAGCTAACGACAATTATTTTACATTTCAGTTTTCGTTTTTTTTGTTCGTTTTTATAAACTATAATAACCTTGCCGCGATGCAGTTGTTTGAGTTCAGTTCAGTCACACAGCAGGCTGTACTGTTTGTGTTTGGTTCACTGAATCACGCATGCGCAGTATTATCGGTTCACCGCTTCACAATGTAATGTTACTGTTCTAATAACTGAATGAGAGTATATATTGGCACATTTAGAGTCAGAGGGGGGTATTAGGCTTGTTATAAAGCAAGTAGTTTGTGGATAAGTGCTTACTGGAGATGTGAATCGTTTCAAATGATTCAGTTCGATTTGGTGAACTAGTTCAACCGGTTCACTTAGGTTACACACACAGGTTAAAAAGATTCGTTTGCGATCACGACACAGAAATAAAACTCATTATTAGGCACAAATGTGTTAAAGTAATAGTTTTTAGTGCATGTAACGCTGTCACATCGCTGCTGGCATGTCCACTCGTTGTTTTTGTTACGGGAGCAACATCGAGAGTGACTGCAGGAGAACCGGCTCGATATGGCCAATGGCAGCAGAACAACAGACTCTGAGGTGCGAAAGGATCAAACACCCTTTAGATTTACTTCTGAAAGACGTACAGTAAGATTATGTATTAAATACATTCACAAATATGGAAACGAAGGAGGATTTTTCTATACTTTTAGTTTCAGTTGGTTTTGTATGTACACAATACAGTTTCAGTTCTAGTTTTTTGAAAAACTCGTTTTTATTTTTAGTTAACGACAATTATTTTACATTTTAGTTTTTATTCGTTTTCGTTAATTACAATAACCTTGGTGTGGAGTTTGCATGTTCTCCCTGTGTTGGCGTGGGTTATTCTGTCAATATCTACTCACTCTGATGATGTCCCTAAGCTGCATTCATTTATTATTATTTATGTTACGTTAATAAAACAACAAAACTTAAGGCAATCCTGATATCATGGTTTCCGCTACATTCATTTTTCCATGGCGGGGCGCCACTCCAAAATTAATCCCGCCAAGTCAACATTACAGCTTTTCATTCACAACATTGTCGTGTTTTTTTTAAAAATAGCGGGTGATATTCGCACCAAAACATATTAAAAGGTAAGTAAATTATAACAGCGTGAACTTCTCTGTAACAGTAGAAGTGCTGTGCGTCATTAGTTTTACCCTTTACGGTTATGTGCTGACTGACTGACTGACAGGTGCGTGATGCGTGAGGCCAGCAAACACGATGTATAGCCATTTCACTTTATTCAGGACGCATTAATGCCTCTCTATAGGTCTATTAGAGACATTTATAAATATTCCAAACAAATCTAATAAATGTTGGAGACATACTCGTTACATAAACGCATTAAATCACACTTCAGCCGCGATTATTTGAGGGCGCACAAGAAGAACTGTGCTTGAGCAGCTTATATTTAAGGGGGCGTGCAAGAAGTTTTGTGCATGAGCAGAGGAAATCAGCAAGAGATTCGCATGCTCGTAGGCTATTACATAAATGCGATCTGGACTTGTAATACTGCACTCACGACATTTGTCATTGAAATAACGCCACAGGTAGACCTGTTTAAAAAAGGCTTGCCGCCACTTCTGGAAAAAATCCTAGAGAAAAAACCTTTATTTGTAATGAAATAAAACTGAGCGAAAGACATTTAATGCAGACATTCAGATCTCATTCATCTTTATATGTCATGGTTATAAATGTTTAACAACAGTCTCATGAACGCTCCCTTCAAATAAAGTATTCCTGAAGATCTTACCAGCTCCTTGAAAAAGCCGGCCTCTCTGGGCTGCTCAGAGTAACGCTCGAACTGATCCAGACCGTCCTGCAGCTTTAATGTTAGTGTATCGTAGTTGGACCGTACCACCTCCAGCACCTGCAGAAAAACACAGATCACTTTATAAAACATACAACTACATGAAACCTTCCAGCTTCAACATCTTCATTACTGTTCACAGCAGAGCTGCACAAAATATATCCTTTCAGCATCGATTTCGCAATGTGCACATCCACAATAGTCATCACAGGATCTGCAATGTTGAGCTGTGATTATAATTAACGAAAAAAATCACAGTTCAGTACACAAGATTTCTTGATTCATTGTGAATTTCAACCATAGTCTATTAGTGTGAATTGTTTTTTTAACGCAGATGTGTTTAAGTTTTGTGACTGTAAGATTTAAAGGAAATTGAAACTGTTTGGGAACAAGAAATTATAAAGTTTGCCATTTTAACAAACTTTAATTGAGCTTAATTATTTATGAAATAAAGACCATACAGTATTATTTTAGATTTAATGATTGAATTTCCTCATTATTGTAATATTCCAACAAAAACAATAACAAAACAATTTAGTAGCAATAGTTTATTTCGTTTTTATCTTTGCTTAATTTATATTTTTTATTCATTCATTCATTTTCTTTTCAGCTCAATCCTTTTATTAATCTGGGGTCGCCACAGTTGAATGAACCGCCAACTTATCCAGAATATGTTTTACACAGCGGATGCACTTCCAGTTGCAACCCATCACTGGGAAACTCATACACTCTCATTCACACTTATACACTACAGACAATTTTAGCCTACCCAATTCACATGTACCGCATGTCTTTGGACTGTGGGGGAAACCAGAGCACCAGGAGGAAACCCACGCGAACGTGGGGAGAACATGCAAACTCCACACAGAAACGCCAACTGAGCCGAGCCGAGGCTCGAACCAGCGATTTTCTTGCTGTGAGGCAACAGCACTACCTACCATTTCTGATACCTGATTTGTTTTATCTTTGCCATAATGACAGATGAAAAATATCTAGTCAAATATTATTTAGACACTTCTATACAGCTTAAAGTGACATTTAAAGGCTTAACTAGGTTACTTAGGTTAACTAGGCAGGTTAGGGTAATTAGGCAAGTTATTGTATAAAGATGGTTTGTTTTGTAGACTTTCCTCCAACTTGGAGATGGCAAACCAACTTTTTCCGGTGGAGCACTATGGCCTCGGATTTGGAGGTGCTGATTCCCATCCCAGCCAAATCACACTCAGCAGCAAACCGCCCTAGTGCATGCTAAAGGTCCATGTTCGAAGAAGCCAACAGAATTACATCTGCATCAGCCCAAGGCTATGCTTTGAAATGGTCCATAAAAATTATGAATAGAATTGGTGACAAGGGGCAGCCCTGCCTGAGCCCAACATGCACTGCAAACAATTCTGACTTATTGCCGGCAATGCAAATCAAACTCCTACTCTGTTAATACAGGGACGAGACAGTCCTTAAAGCGCTTCTGACCCCATACCCCCCGAGCATTCTCCACAGAATGCCACGAGGGACCTGGTCGAATGCCTTCTCCAAGTCCACAAAACGCATGTGGACTGGTTGGGAATGCTCCCATGAACCATCCAGCACCCTGGTGACAGTATAGAGCTGGTCCCGTCTGCCACGGCCTGGACGAAAACCGCTTTGTTCCTCCTGGATCCTAGGTTCAACCATTGGCCAGATTCTCCTCCCCAGTACCCTGGCATAGACTTTCCCAGGGAAGCTGAGGAGTGTGATCCTCTATCCTTGGAGCAGACCCTCCGGTTCCCTTTCTTGAAAATGGAAACAACCACCCCAGCTGCCCAGTCCAGAGGTACTGTCCCCGACCTCCATTGTAGAGACATGCCAGCCAAGACACCCCCACAATATCCAGTGACCTAAGATACACAGAGTGAATCTCATCCACCCCAGCTGCTTTGCCACTCTGGAGTTTGCAAACTACCTCAGTGACCTCAGCTTGGGTGATGGGTGAGTACACCCCTGCATCCCCAGTCTCTGCTTCCTCAATGAAAGACGTGTCGGTGGGTTTAAAGAGATCCTCACAGTATTCCCCAGTCAAGGTCAACAGCTCTTCCACTGTAAACAGTATTGATGTGGAGCTGCATTCCCCTCCTGAGGCGCCGGACGGTTTGCCAGAATCTCTTTGAGGCCGACTGATAGTCTACCTCCATGGTCTCACCGAAATCTTCCCAGGCCAGAGTTTTTGCTTCCGGAACACCCTGTGCTGCAGCACACTTGGCCTGCCGGAACCGGTCAGCTGCCTCGGGAAACCTGCAAGCCAACCACGCCCTGTAGGACTCCTTCTTCAGCTTGACGGCATCCCTTACTTCCGGTGTCCACCACCGGGTTCGTGGATTGCCACCTCGACAGACACCACAGACCTTACGGCCACAGCTCCTCACTGCCACGTAAACAATGGAGTCGGAGAACATCGACCACTCGGTCGCCAAGTCTCCAACCTCCCTCGGGATCTGGTCAAAGCTCTTCCGGAGGTGAGAGTTGAAAATCCCTCTGACTTGAGGTTCAGCCAGACGGCCGAACATTTTGATACATTCTGAAACAATTCATTCATTAATTTTCTTGTCGGCTAAGTCCCTTTATTATTTTGGGGTTGCCATAGCGGAATGAACCGCCAACTTATCCAGCACGTTTTTACACAGCGAATGCCCTTCCAGCCGCAACCCATCTCTGGGAAAACTGAAACAATTATTTATTTATTTTTTTTTTTTTTTAGAAAATCTGATTAAGAATTATTCAGTTACTACATTTATGAATGCAGGTCCAGCTTTACTTTGTTGTTGCTGTTGTTAACACATACCAATAAATTAATATTCATCTACCCAAAATGATCCTCCAATCAAAACCATTTTCCGTAGCAACTGATGCAAGGAATAATTTCAAAGTGGGCTTTTTAAAACTCCAGGCTGTTTTCGGTCACCTTGCGAACACTAATCCTAAGTCTGAAGTGTGACTGGTGCGCTCCAGGGCACCAAACAGGAACATGAACACAAAAGCCCAAGCACTTAAACACTAAAGTAAAGAGTGGGAGAGAGGGTAGAGGAGGTCTGATGGAGGTCATGCGGCAGCATCTGGCATACCTCGAGATAAAAGAGCAGAGACTGGGGACGGCGAGTGACAGCTGGAGCAGCCATCTGTAAAACTGACCTCACTTCCAGCGCACGACATCATTACCCTGCAGATCAAAGGCTAATTAAGCAGCACCTGTGGCCACAAACACCTGCGACTGACTGACTGCTCCAATCAACACTTACAGTTCACTTATTCACATCCCTAAATCATATTTCTTTTACTTTTATGCCGCAACACGTGATGAAGTGTATATTTTCTACACTATTTAACCAAAGTCTTGTGGCCTACTTAAGTTTTAGCAACAACCAATAATAACTTGATTTCTAGTTGATCGTTTGATATCAAAAGTGGCTTATATGTAAGGCAAAGGCCCTATTAGATTGCGCTTATTTTAGCTAAATAAAATATGATCATGCCTTGATAATGTCCAGTATAGGATATAAAGTCATGCTGCAGTGGAGACAGAATGAATATTGTGTGTGACTCCATCATGAGCTTGGAGGACTGCATCTATACATCTCTGCAATGACTCCAATCACTTATTAAAGTCATCTGGAATGGCAAAGAAAGCGTTCTTGCAGGACTCCCAGAGTTCATCAAGACTCTTTGTGTTCAGCTTCAATGCCTCCTCCATCTTCCCCCAGACATGCTCAATAATGTTCATGTCTGGTGACTGGGCTGGCCAATCCTGTCCACAAAGTCATTTTAATCGCAAAAACGTGAAAAACTAAGGGGTCTGGTTTGGTTGCTATTTATTGGAGGTTTGTTAAAAACCAATAAATCGTAATCAAATATCTCCCGAAACACATTAGAAACCATTTAAATGTGCTGTTTTTAAAGGGTAAACCTGGATGCTTTGTAATGTTTTAATGGTACGTGCAATGGAAGCATAATTTTTCATGAGGGATGTGAATATATTGAGTTACCTGGTCTTCTGAGAGCTGCGAGATGTGGTTCACAGCAGCGTACGACTCAATCTTAGGATTGAAATGGTTAATAATTGCTCTAAAAAAAACAAAAACACACAAGAATAATTAAATACTTCATTATGTATCATGCATTGAAAGCAGCAAGCACTGTGTAAACTATATCTGTTGATGAAGTTTCTGTATTTTGTGATTCACAAGTGTTTATTTATGCTTGTGAATTGCATTATGGGATGTGGATCTCTGGTCTGTCCACTTTTGATGTTGTAAATTCAACTCTACAGTTTAACAAAGTGACTATTAGTGACATTTTAGAAGTAACATGATAAATAAGTAAATAAAACAGGGAAAAATCTGTAAAATAGCAGAAAATGTGCTAGCAGCTTATTAAAGGTTTTTGTAGTCTAATATAAAACACGAACCCAGACAACAGAGCACTTTGTACTATTAAAAATGTACATAAACGTCACTTTTTCCAACTTTTCAAGGTGTTTCAAGCTGATTAATGAAAGATCAAGCTCCCATAATGCAACTCAAAAGTAGAAATAGCCGTGGGAAAAATAAAAAAAATTAAATAAATACATAAATCACTAATAATTTACAGATTTTATTATTTTTTTTTTTACAGTTTTTACAGTGTAGAATAAAAGATAGCGTTACATAGAGCTTCTAATGTGTGTGTGTTTTCATATTCTGCTGTAATCCTCTGCATTATGTATGGGTAAAAAAAGCGCATGACTTCTTTTGTGCTGCACAAACACATGGTGACACTCTGAAAGCAGGCAGAACACTTGCACATTGCCTCAGACTGCAAAATCAATAATTTATTCACCGTGTCTCTCATGCACAAACCAAAATAAATCAAGAAAACCGCAATTTTAACAAAGCTATCAGATGTTGGTCGTAGACTTTGGCTGAAGCAGCACAGGCTGTGTTTATGTGGAGACTCGGTAACTAAATCCAAATGTGAAAATTATGTAAACTGAAAACTGAAGATAAATATTTGTAAGGCTTTACTATGTTTCAAGTACTGCTTTTGTTATATGATTGATCATTCATAATCAATTAGCAAATAAAAAGTATTTTAGTATAACTGTAGAGATTATTTCAAGGCTCGTTTTGCAATGAATTTGTTTCTAACATTCATCGTTTATTTTCTTTTCGGCTTAGTCCCTTTATTAATCTGGGGTCGCCACAGCGGAATGAACCACCAACTTATCCAGCATATGTTTTACACAGCAGATGCCCTTCCAATGTAGTTCATCAAGTCCCCTATAGTGCATGTGTTTGGACTGTGGGGGAAACCGGAGCACCCAGAGGAAACCCACGCCAACACGAGGAGAACATGCAACCTCCACACAGAAACGCCAACCGACCCAGCCGAAGCTCAAACCAATGACCTTCTTTGCTGTGGTGCGAAAGTGCTACCCACTGTGTGTGGCCCCGACAATACAATTTAAAAATATATAAAATTATACAATACAAAAAAAAATAATAATAATTTTAAAAGCAAACAAACATAGGTAAAGAAAAAAGACAAAGCACATTTTAAGGCTTCTAAATTATCAATATGTTCAAAATATTTCTAAAAATGTCAGCGCAATAGCCCAGTGGTTAGCATGCTGACACATGGTGTAAAAAGCGCTCCGGGCACCCCAAATTTGAATCCTTGCTTCATTTCTTATCAAATAAATGCAAAAATGGCCAAAATAAATCTTTAAAAAAATTATATATATATATATATATATATATATATATATATATATATATATATATATATATATATATATTTACAGTGCTTAGCATGAGAGTACTGAAAAATAACCAAACACAAAAAAGCTAAGAAAAATACAGAAATAAAAAGTAAAAACCCTGACGACTCTTACCTGACATTGACAAGAGCGTGAGTAACTTTACTAGCAGGCTCTTTCCATTGGCCCGCGTTGGTGGAGACTCTCAGCACTGCAGTGTCATAAAGATCAGAGAAAATTTGTCTTGGGCATAAAAGGTGCTACAACATTGTCTAAACAGACAGTAAAAATAAATAAAACAAAAATATATATAGTCACCTTAGAATTATAAGGTTCTATCGGACATTATCAAAATTGAGTTATTGACCTATTTTCATTAAATCACAATTTGTTTTATGTTTTTTTTTGGATGTTCTTTTATAAGCTGTTTACATTTTAAGACCATTTATTTAATAAACAAATGTTTTACACATACTGTTTGCTTTATGGAATGCAAAAAATGTAAAGCTCAATATCTCAAAATCATTCAGACCGCAGAGAGAACCTTATAATTCCAAGGTGACGATATATATATATATATATATATATATATATATATATAAATATATATATATATATATATATATATATATATATTAGGGGTGTCAAAATTAATTGTTTCTTCAGTGTACCACGATGCAGATGGGGACAATTCGATATCGGTTCAGTAATAGATCGTAACTGGTTATTTTATCTCCTATGCACGATGATGTTGCAGTAGAACACTATGGCGAAGGAGTCGAGGGCGACTAAATAAAACGCTCCTACTACTTGAAAGATAGATAATTATGGACATAATTATGCCGCTATTTCACTACTAGGGAGGTATGCTGTAAAAAAAATCAATCTCTGTCTCTCTGCCTCTCTCTCTCTCTCTCTCCTACACACACTTTGGACATTTGACCCGCTGGCCTGTTTGTGAGGTAACTTTTTTTGCTCGGCTGCGATACTTGTGGATCCAGACACGAGCGTGCCTGAGGTGCGAGTTTTCTCCACTGTGTCTATTTTGGCATATTATGCACATATAGACTGTCACTCATCTGTAAACAACGCTTTAATTTCCAAAGCCAGGCGCAACCTTTTCTGTTGAGCGGGTGAAGACAATGAGGAATTATAGGGGTGTAAGACCTCGCCTGTCAGCGCTCAAAAAGCAAGCGTGTTGGAGTTTTGTTTGATACATTCAGAAAGAGTGTTTTCTTTAAGCAGGTCAAATTAAGGGTACAGTTTACATATCTTACTGATGTTTTAAAGAATAAAACTGTATCACAAATAGTAAATAAATAAATTTGTAGATTTTAGTAAAAAAAATCTTGTTTTGTGAGGAAAAAATCTAATTATGTATGGAAAGCATCGTCAATGCACTGAGATATGGAATTGAACTGAATCGATGGCATGATAATCGTAACCGAACCATGAGACCAGGTTCATACCCCTAATATATATATATATATATATATATATATATATATATATATATATATATATATATATATATATATATATATATATATATATATATCATTCTGAACGCAGCAGGTCTAAGGTCAGCTGACTTACCCATGCAGTAGAGGTTATCAAACACCTGATGCATGCGTATAATCTCATAATAGAGCTCATCGTAGCTGCTGGGGGTCGGCAGGAACGTGTCTCCATACGTGATGAACATATTAAAGAGGTTCACCACCTAAAACAAGATGGAAAGAAGTGTTAAAGGGCACCTATGATGGAAAATCAACTTTTAAAAGCTGTTTGTACAGAACTGTGTCTAGCATAGTGTGTCCAGAGTTATATTGGAGTGATAGAAACACAAGTCTCTTTATAAAAATTTTCTGACGTTAAGATAGCGTCCAAATACCAGTGATTTTGCGGACCAGTGTTTTTAACGTGACGTGTGGTTTTCCCCATCCATCGAATTGAATGAAGGAGTGCATTAGCATGTCATTGTACAAGATCTGTACTGATTAGTAACGCATGTAAAAATTCACAGGACAGAATTTGCTAAGAAACTGGGATTAACCTCCTAGGGCTTAGTGTTCACATATGTGAACAGCACATTTTTAGCTCTTAAGTGGCTATTTAAAATACTTTGAATGTTTTTATTTTGTTACAGACATATAGTGTCATCCTGCAACAGTATTGCAGCATATGAAATGTCCCGAACACTATTTTTACCTTTCCAAAATGGGCAAAACATTTAGTTTTTACTCTCTGATAGTCCAAACATGTTTTAAAAATGAATATGTTAAATATGCATCAAAAATCAGTCAGGAAAAAGTGTTTTATGTAAATTCGGACCCTGAGTCCACCTATATGGACATCCTCTTTCTCTAATAGTACATCATATCAAAAGATGACACTTAGGTTTTATTCTTATTAGGTTCCAATAAGCCTTTTTTTTTCAAATAAAAAAATAGCATAGAAAAAACACCTTGGGCCTTAAGAGGTTAAAAGATCTGTTCCAACTCTCTGTGATCAGCTGCAGGTCAATAATGAGTTTCGCAAGCTTAAAACAATAAAGACAGTAAAATCTTGATGTAATCTTCATAACCGCTGGAATCACCACAGCTACATAATATCAGTTCAAATATAAATGAGGATGCTTCAATCAAACAACAGGAGTACCAGTTTCCTGAGATTGAAATAGGATTCCAATCCTTGAGTTTTTGAGGCCTACTGCAATGTGATGTAGAAGTGCATTTTCCCCCCTCAACTGAATTGTAGTTAACAGCATAACAAATATAAACATTCACAGGACAGGATTAGCTAAGAGACCGGGATTATAGGATCTGTTCCAACTCTCTGTGATCAGCTACACTTTAAAAATGAGTTTTACAAGTTTAACATGTCTTTAAAACATGCACATGCATGCCTGTAATAAAGAAAAGACAACTATAAACGAGGATGCTTCAACCACACAAAAGAAGTCCTGCTTTGTGGATGTTAAATCTGGTTTATTTTGTACAGTAGCATAATGAATATCCATACAAAAGAGTTTATGAAATTGTCAAATTTACATACTCCTGCTAAATCAGTGCAAAGCTGAACGTGTGTATTGTGAAATTTGTATGGTATTTGTGTATGACTCGTCATTTCAGAAAAGCTTGAATAAACTCACAACCTTACTTTTGGTGTTTTTGCCTCACAAACTGGATCTCTGCTTTATCCATGTCCGTCACTGACTGCTGTTTATCTAACGTAACGCAGTAGAAGCAGACATGCACGTGGGAACAGTGGGCGGGGAGAACCATCTAATTAGCATTTAAAGGCTCAGGCAACAAAAACAGCTACACTTTCCTCCGACCCCAAAATGTACTTATTCAACAGGGTGTGATAAATGATCTGACGGGTATTTTGAGTGGCAACTTTACAGGCACATTCTGGAGACACCAAAGACTAATCTTACATTTCATAAAAGGGGTAAAATAGGAGCCCTTTAATGTGTGAACCCCACATGAATCCCTTTAAAAGAGTGATTGTGGTTTACCTGAAGAGCCAGCTGGAAGATATTGTGCTTTGCCAGAAGGCCGGTCTCATTAGACAGCAGGAACTTCAGAAGGTTAATGAGAGCTGGAAAACACAATCAACATGGCCATCCGAAGCTGTTTAGAGAAGCATTTTTTACACGGGAATAATCAGTGTTTTGACCTGTGAGTCTGCACAACTGCCGGCACAGATTTACAACATCATTATACGATTCGTTATCAGGGGTGGCGGAGGATTATGGATAAACAGAGTTCAGAGAAGTTTGTTTATAATCACTAAGAAAAATAATAGAAGGTATACACACAGAGAAAGGGGAGGAAAATAAACGCACCCGAAATGAAACAACACAAAATAAAGTAATAACACAACACAAAAAAAACAAAGGATAAAGTCACGTATGAAAACGCATGGAAAAGGGAAAATAAAAAATATTCCGAGAAAAAATAAAAACGATGGAATAAGATAAAAATCCCCAAGAACAAAAGCAACGAAAAAAAAATAGATCCACAGATTCAAATTTTAAAAGTGAACTAAAACAACACAGGAAAAAGCAAGATTTTTTTAAAAAGTAGAAACTGAAATAAATCAATCAAATAAAAAAAAAAGCAAGCCAGAAAATGTATTTAATAAAATAATTTTTAAAAAATGTACAAAATACCACAGCTGTGGCGATGAATTGTTTGTGAAATTGATTCTGCATCCATTTAGAGATTTTAAAATGTGTTGTTTAGTTTTAGACAGTAAACGGCGCTCTAAGCTAGATTTTCAACAGCATAGGCTCTGTAGGCTAATTATTAACAGTAGATGGTGTTCTAGGCAAATTTGAGCAGTAGACGGCGCTCTAGACTAGTTTTAAACAACAGGTGGCGCTCTAGGCTAGTTTTAAACAGTAGACGGCGCTCTAGGTCAATTTTAGACAGTAGATGGCACTCTAGGCTAGTTTTAAACAATAGACGGCGCACTAGACTAGTTTTAACTAGCAGGCGGTGCTCTAAGCTAGTTTTAACAGTAGATGTTACTCTTAGCTAGTTTTAGACAGTAGACGGCGCTCTAGGCTAGTTTTAAACAGCAGGCGGTGCTCTAGGTTAGTTTTAACAGTAGACGGCACTCTAAGTTAATTTTAAACAGTGGATTGTGCTCTAGGCTAGTTTTAAACAGTAGATGGCGCTCAAGGCTAGATTTTAACAGGGGACGGCACTCTACGCTAGATTTTAACAGCAGACGGCGCTCTAAGCTAGCTTTAAATAGTAGATAGTGCTCTAGGCTAGTTTTAAGCAGTAGACAGCGCTCTAGGCTAGATTTTAACAGCAGATGGCACTCTAGGCTAGCGTTTAACAGCAGACGATGCTCTAGACTAGAGTTTAACAGCAGATGGCGCTCTAGGCTGGTTCTTAACAGCAGCGGGCACTCTAGACTAGTTTTTAACAGCAGAGGGCGCTCTAGGCTAGTTTTTAACGGCAGAGGGCGCTCTAGGCTAGTTTTTAACGGCAGAGGGCGCTCTAGGCTAGTTTTCAACACCAGAGGGTGCTCTAGGCTAGTTTTTGACAGCAGAGGGCGCTCTAGGCTAGTTTTTAACAGCAGATGGCGCTCTAAGCTAGTTTTTAACAGCAGAGGGCTCTCTAGGCTAGTTTTCAACAGTAGACGCACTCTAGCCTAGTTTTTAACAGCAGACGGTGCTCTAGGCTAGTTTTAAACAGCAGAGGGCACTCTAGGCTTGTTTAACATCAGATGGCGCCCAAGGTTCGTTTTTACACATCAGACGGCACTCTAGGTTAGTTTTTTCAAATCAGACGGTGCTCTAGGTTAGTTTTAACAGCAGATGGAACTCTAGGCTAGTGTTTAACAGCAGAGGGCGCTCTAGGCTAGTTTTTAACAGTAGACGGCGCTCTAGGCTTGTTTTAACAGCAGATGGCATTCTAGCCTAGTTTTTAACAGCAGACGGTTCTCTAGGCTAGATTTTAAAAACAGACAGCTCATTATGAACACAAGTATTTCTCTTAAACCATTTCTAATTCTCTTTATAATTGAGTATTTTATTTCCAAGTGGTCTTACTAAAGAATTAGCAAGCAGAGTATGGCCATAATCAAGTATACAGCACCATCTGCTGTGGCAAACAAATCTTAGAATTGATTCAAGAGAGAATAACAATGCATTTCTCAAACTTTTCTTCACCAAATTCCACAAAATATGCAAGAACGATGATAAAAATGACAGGCTTTTCCTCAGACACACAGTGGGTAGCGCTCATACCTGACCAGAGCTCTCTCCACGTGTAGTGCAGTCTAACCCTGCACTTCTTCTGGTAGCAGATCAGCTTGTGAATGATCTGAACGCAGCGCCTAAAATAAATCAACAAGTTGTCATTATTTCCACATTTGCCAAGCACCCCAGCATTTACAACTGCATATCACAGAAACTCACACGTAAAGATCCATAGGAAATTCCTTCATCATATGAGTCACAACAAACTCCACCATCAAATCTGCCAAAAACAAACAATCATCACATAAATATTGACAAAATAAATACATATAACAGTAAGTCTTTCACAAATGTTAGACACAACTCACCCAGCACAGCACACACTAAAGGCCGACAGGGGATGTTTTTATCTGCGGCTTTCTTTCGATGTCTCATGGGCTGAAATATCAGTAAAAGAACAGATAAGAACACTAAATCGGACCCTATTGGCTTTTATATAACGTTGATTTTATTAGTGAACTGTCCCTTTAAGACCAGCCAAGAATGATTTCAGTTAAAATAACACAAATGGTACTCCAAATGGAGATGTTTTTATCTGCGACTCAGTTTCTGTTCTACATGAGTTGAAATATTAGTAAGAGACAATTTATCACAAGGAGACAAATTTGGAACCCATTGACTTCCATTGAGTTCACATTTGGGTGAACTGTCCCTTTAAGACAGGTTAAAGTAAATTTCAGTCAAAATTACACAAATGGTACTGCATATAGAGAGGCTTTATCAGCGACTTGGGATGGGATAGTAATTATGGGATAGCAATTATCAAAACAAGACAATATTGGACCCCATTGATTTTCATTGAGTTCATTATTCATGAAGTTAATTTTAGCCAAAATATCACAAATGCTTCTGCAAATGTCAATATTTGTATCTACAACTTTCTTTCAGTGTCACGTGGACATTTCTGTAAGAGACAATTTATCAAAACAAACAAAAATTTAGACCCCATTTAATTCCATTGACTTCATTTTTGGGTATACTGTCTCTTTAAGAAAGGCCAAAGTTAGTTTCAGTCCAAATAACACAAATGCTACTGAGTATTTTTTCATCCACAACGTTCTTTTTGTGTCACATGAACTTTCTATGAGACCATTTATCCCAATGGAACAAAATTGGACCCCATTTACTTCCATTGATTTCATTAAACTGTCTCTTTAAGATTAACTAAAAGAGACCAACTTCGGTCAAAATAACACCAATGACCATGCATATGTTGAGTTGTAGGCTATTTATCTGGAGTCTGAGTCTGGGCTGTACCATTTTAATCCAGGACAAGAGGCAGTCGGCTGTTTTGTATGCAAGAAACATCGTTTTCATTTGGATTCTGCCATTTATAGACGACCAAGACCTGAGGAAAGACTCTTACCATTCGGTGCAAGTTGACTCTGAAGTTCATGTTATCATCGTGGAGAAACGCATCGGCATACTGGTCCTGTTAAACAGACAGCAAGAAGACGAAAGGTCAAATCAGGGAACAAACTCACAATAATAATAATAATAATAATAATAACAACAATACCCAGAATGCATTACCTCAGCTATACAGGTCAGAATGATGAGGCATAGTCTGGCACTGTTGAGTCTGTGTTCATCTGAAAATGTACATAAATTATTGTAAGATGTGTACAAAGGGATAAGAGAATTAAATGGCTCCGTTTCAAAACCTACTTAGTGCCCTACATTGTCAGCATATTTTAAGTGCTAAGACACAGAGGCTGTTTTAAAGACAGATAGTCATGTTATCCTCTGTGATGCTTTATTTTGGCCAAATGCGCTGAATGCAGTTTAGCCGAAAATAAATAAGCATTGTAAAATCCAATTCCATAATAAGGGCCAGACGGAGTCTGCAGACGTTTTTTGCTATTTCTGCGGAGAAATTTGGTAAAAATCTACGGTTTTCTGCGGAATTATTTTGGCAGTATCATAACTAAAACCTTAATATGGGAAATAAGTAGTGATATGGACTGTCAGTAGTGATTATTAAACCACACTGAACTGAGCTAAACTGAACTGAACTTAAACACTGAAAACTGAACGGACACGGTTTCAGTTCACTGTGATCTTCTATGTGAAGCTGCTTGATGCAATCTATATTGTAAAAGCGCTAAACTAATAAAGGTGAATTGAATTGAATACATGAATTACGAGCAGGCCAAGTTTTCGTCAGTACAAAATTAGCTACTTTTCTCGTGATATGACAGACATACTTCGACACGAAATTATGTGGCCTTCTATGACACTTTCTTTTGGTCAATAGGAAGATTGCAAATATTTGTTTGGAAAAATGACGCATTGGGCGACGGAGTGGCGCAGTAGGTAGTAGAAATGCGCGGATGGCGGTTACAGCCGCGGGATCGGGCGGATGATGTGACGAAAAATACAATTGTAATTAAATTCGGGCGGGTGGTGGGCGGTTGTACTGTTTTTGTACACATAGCTGCCACACCAACGAAAAAGCCTAGGACTGACTTCACAGAATGAGAGGAGGAATCGGATACACTAATTCTGGATGAAGTACAGAAGTATTCCTCTACAAACTTCCGTATAGACGGATCAGCAGAGTAAAATCTACTTTCCTTTTAGGAGAAACAAGGCCAGTCATTCCCACGTCTACAGCTCCTTGCCAAGAGAATTCTATGCATTCCAGCAACAAGTGCTGCGAGCGAGCGCTCCTTCAGTGCAGTAGGGCGCATTGAGGCCAGGCGCTCTCGTCTGAATGTTGAAATGATGTGTCAAAATGCGTTTTCTATTAGGCTACAATAATAATAAAAAAAAAATTGTACTGTACAGTCCGTTTAATTTAGGCTATTTATTTATTTTTGTCCCTGTGCACCAATTGGAGACGGAGTTCACTGCTGATATTCTGAGAGCTTTATAGGGGTGCTTCTCATTTCTTATTAGTGTATCCTCGTTTCCTTTCCTTGCTTTCTTTCATCGTCTTTCCACCCCTATAGGGTGCGAGAGAAGGAGGCAAGGAAAAGACTCAAGGAACGAGGAATTGAATCAAGTGAAACGACACGTCCTCGTATTGTTTAGCGTCACTTCAAAGCGTCAATTACTGCTGGATTTGACTTGCACGTTTGGATTAACTGCATGTCATTAAAGTCATTCTCTTTTTTCTAATAATCAATAAAGAAACATTCATTTAATAATAAAAAGGAATAAGCCATTCAAATAAAGAGCTCAGTCAGCAGATGACGGGCGGGTGCGGTTTTAAAAATTGGTCAAAAATGTTAGTGCGGATGGATGGCGGACGGATGATGAGTTTTGGGATGCGGTTGCGGATGAAATAATAGCCCATCCGCGCATCTCTAGTAGGTAGTGCTGTCGCCTCACAGCAAGAATGTCGCTGGGTCGTTGGTTCGAGCCTCGGCTCAGATGGCGTTTCTGTGTGGAGTTTGCATGTTCTCGCTGCGTCCGTGTGGGTTTCCTTCGGGTGCTCCGGTTTCCCTCACGGTCCAAAGACGTGCGCTACAGGTGAATTAGGTTGGCTAAATTGTCCGTAGTGTATGAGTGTGTGCGTGAATGAGTGTTTGTGGATGTTTCCCAGAGATCCGCTGCGTAAAATCGTGCTGGATAAGTTGGTGGTTCATTCTGCTGTGGCAACTCCGGAATACTAAAGGGACTAAGCCGACAAGAAAATAAACGAATGAATAAAAATGACGCATTGCAACAAACATAAGAAACTCTATTTCAGACAAATGCGCTGAATGTAGTTTTTGTAGTTCAATCCCGTAATTCACTGCAACAATCAAAGTAATAACTAATAAAAAACACCGTTTTAACTTAAATGTGCACACATTTAACTTTATTTTTAATCTAATTTAACGTTTTACTTTAATTTTGTATAGTTTTGCATGATTTGCTCAAGTAGGTTCAGGGCAGGGTTAGGGGCATGCCATATTTTCAAATATTCACATAATTTATAATGGATAAAAAAAAAACGTATGAATTCTTACAAATTAGCCAAGTTTTCCTCAATATAAAATTAGCTACTTTTCGCATGAGGTTCAGGGTGCTTTCACACATAGACTTTTGTTTCGGAACCGGTCCCAGTTGTCCAGTTAGCACGGTTCGTTTGGCATATGTGAATCCACCAATCGCGCTTGGATCCACACCAAAACAATCGCTCCGAGATCGCTTGAATGAGGTGGTCTCGGCTCGATTGAAACAAACTCTGGAGTGGATCGATTGTAGTGATAAAGCTATACGATCCGAGCCCGGTTATATCAGTGTATTATGTATATGTAATAGGCTTACGGCTATATGAAGAGAGAATTATGAGCAGGGCGGGAGGTCATTCCAGACATTCCAAGTCTCCCACAAATGCACAGAGACTACAGGATGCCCGAAAATGAGTGATAATCTCCAGAAAATCGTGCATCTCCCTCCTGGTCCTCAAATACGTTGCGCACCCTTCTCACCCCTCCCCACCGCATCCCTTCTCGTTCTTCAAACACGTCACGCCCACCCTGTCAAACACCACCAAACCACCACCCCCACTGACAGCTGAGCGGGACTCTGCAAAATAAACCATGAAACTGACCAATGTGAGGAGAGTTTACTCACACGTGACTTGTTTTAGCTCTTTTGGTCCGTTTAGAAACTTTGCCGTGTGAAAGCGAACCGCACCAAGAACAAACAGCAACAATGTAACAATTTTAATTCCTGTTTCGGAACAACTGAATCGATTCACAGGTGTGAAAGCACCCTTAGACATGCTTCCCCACAAAATTCTGTTGCCAATAGAAAGATTGCAAATATTTTTAGGTATTTTTTATTTATTTCCATGATGCATTGTAATAGGCTTAAAAACATAAAATGGACAAAGCAACATTTTTTTTTAAATAAATTCAATATAATCGGATAGCAAAGCACTGATTGGTTACTAACTAAAATAAGTAATAATGTACAACCCCTGTATATTTATGCTAACAAGAGCATCCTGGAATCATTAGTGAGTTTGGATGCTGCCTTGCATTAACACGCACAGTGTTTTGGAAAACAGCGCGTTCAGAAAAGCGATGACTTGCCTTTGGTGTCCTGCATCACGATAGAGGAATATTTGAGGAACGTTATAAGAAGATTACTCGTCTGCAAGTTTGGGTCCAGAGGAAGCTCAGGATTATTCATCACTGCAGAAAAAAAGAAACAAAGAAAGAAAGTATATACTTTTGAGTTTAACTTTGAAAGATCACATTTGTAAACACGTGTCTGACTGTGATAAGCTTGCATGCCATTAAAAAAATCATAAAGTTATCTTTTAATGCCAATAAAAGGCAAGATCACTAATGAATTACTAATTAAATCATTAAATTTGTATTTAAATTGCTTTTCTAATGACTTCAGTAATATTAGTAAATAAATGTTGAATAATATGCAAATGTTCATTTTATTTAACTACATTAAAGGTTGTAAAGTAATATTTTTATACAATATTTTCTGTCATTTAGCATATATGGCATATGAGAGACTTGCTTATATATATATTTAATCAAAAAGCTCATTTAAATTAAATTAAAATTAGACAACTGAAATTGGATTTGACTTGTAAAAAAGTTAAAAAGTTATTGTTTTATATTTAACGTGTTACATTTTTTGTGACTATACTATCTGATTTTGTACAAACATTTTTCTTAACTAGGTTAATTAGGTTAAAGTTAGGGTAATTAGGCAAGTCATCATGGCAAAGATAAAATAAATCAGTTATTGAAACGGAGCTATTAAAACTATTATGATTAGAAATGTGAAGAAATCTCTTCGTTGAACAAAGAATCTTTTATTCTTACTGTGTTTTTCATTGTATTTTTTTTTTACTGTGCTTTGTTGTTTTTACTTTCTTTGGGTTTTGGGTTTTAGAAAAGCGCGTTATAAATAAAATATATTATCATTATTATTATAACAAAAATTGCAGAAAAAAAAGTGGTTTGTTCTGTAGACTGCCAAAACAAATATTGCTTAAGGAGGCAAATAATTTTGACCCAAAAATTCTTTATTAAAAAATGAAAACTGCTTTTATTCTAGCTTCCATAAAAGCAAATAAGAGTTTCTCCAGACTGAAAAAAATATTAGAGAAAATACTGTGAAAAATTCCTTGCTTTGCTAAACATCATTTGGGAAATATTGGAAAGAAATTAAATAAAGTCAGGGAGGGTGAATAATTTGACTCCAGCTGTATATTATATCAGAGATTTAATGTTTTGTTTGTTTTTTTAAAAATGATTTTATAAATGTTACATTTTCAATAATGTCATATAATAATTTTCAATCATTTTTTTGTTACTATACTAGCTGAAGATTTTGTTCAAAATTCTGTGCAGCAATAGCCAAAGATGTCTGCAGATCCTGTGTGGAATGATTCAATTGTCTGGAACCTAGTTATAAAAAAACTGCAATTAAAGGGCCTAAACATGAAAAGTAATCCCATATTTTACTTGTTCAGCAGAAAAATAATCTAATTACAGTAACTTGTTATTTGGTAATTAATTACACCGAAAACTGATTAGAATATGATTTACAAAACTAATACTGCTGTTTTTTTTTTTTTAGAATAAATGTTACATTTTCAATAATGCAAAATACGCTGTAGCTTAGAAAGTGACATATAAAAGTACAATAAATGTCTGTAATTGTGCTGAAAAAGAAACTTACAGTTTTAGAATTATTAACCCTCATGTATAATTTTCTTCCAATTTCTGCTGAACAGAGATTTTATTCAGCACATTTCTAATCGTAATAGTTGTAATAACTAATTTCTAATAACTGATTTATTTTCTCTTTGCCATGATGACAGCACATATTAGACTAAGTATTCTTCAAGACACTTCTATACAGCTTAAAGTGACATTTAAAGGCTTAACTAGGTTAATTAGGGTAAAGTTAGGGTAATTAGGCAGGTTGTTGTATAAAGATGGTTTGTATTGTAGACTATCCAAAAACAAATATAGTTTAAGGGGGCTAATAATATGGACCTTAAATAGATTTTAAATAAATTAAAAACGGCTTTTATTCTAGCCAAAATAAAGCAAATAAGACTTTCTCCAGAAGAAATTTTTTTTTGAGAAAATACAATGAAAAATTCTTGAATCTGTTCAACATCATTTGGGAAATATTAGAAAAAAAAATCTAATAAAATCACAAAAGGATGAATAATTTGACTTCAGCTGTATATTATATGAGAGATTCGATTAGACAACTGTTTATAATTGAAATTGAATTATAAACCTTAAATAAAAGTTCAAAAGGTATTGTTTTATATTTCATGTGTTCATTTTTTTGTTACTATACTAGCTGAAGATTTTGTTCAAAATTCTGTGCAGCAATAGCCAAAGATGTCTGCAGATCCTGTGTGGAATGATTCAATTGTCTGGAACAGAGTTACAAGAAACTGCAATTAAAGGGCCTAAACATGAAAAGTAATCCCATATTTTACTTCAACAACATTTACAACATCATTTGGGAAACATTTTAAAGGCAAAAATTGATGAGAGGCGAATCATTCTGACTTCAACTGTAGATGAGCTTCAGTTTTCTTTGCAGAAACACATTTAGGCTTGCTGAAAGAATTATAGCTACAAAAATAGGACATTTACTGTCTATGCTATGAACTTTTAGCTAAGGTAAAGTACAGGTTTTCTGACCGAGTAATCCGTGAACTTGTGATTGAAGTCATTTGAGCTCCATTTGCACATTCGGGCAAGAAAAACACGCCATTTCTGCCACGGGGGTTTGAGTCTGCCAGATCTGAGTGGATTTAATATTTCATACAGCTAATGGATATCAAGTTTTCAGAAGGGTGCGATGCAAAAAGCGGCATAAAAGTTAGACGAGATTCAGGAAAAAAATCTAAGTGTTGAATTGAGAGGTGCTGGCTTTACCATTCTGTAGGGTTTTCTTTATATGCCCACCCAAAACCTGCATGATTTTAGAGTCCATCATTCAACCTATTTATTTATGTTGATGTGTGTAAATTAGGGGTGGGACGATACAGGTAACTCACGATTCAATTCTGTGGCGACATTTGGCCAACGATAATGATATCATCACGAAATCTACGTGATAGTCAATATATTGAAAAAAGGATATATCATGATATATGTGACTGAAAAAGGAAAAAAAATACCCATAATAAGGAAATCTTATGCATTTATTAGTGCCAACATTTCCAACATTGTGCAAAGAAATATGCATTTGCATAATACCTCACTGCAGTAAATGATTGCCGGACGACTTGGTTTGCCCTCATTATCACCTGAGAGTAGTTCACCGTGATAGCGAACGAGGTGCATTTGTAGATTCGCAGTGTTGCTGTCATATTTTATCTTTGCAAAGCAGTTCGGGCATAGTTTTTATCCCAGTGCCTTTCCGTCAACTGTCTCGTAAAACCCGAAGTGTCTCCAAACTAGCAGCTTTGATTTGTTTTTCAATATTTTCCACCATTCTTCTCGCTACTCTTTTTTTTTTCCGCGCTTCTTTTCTGTTGTTGTTAGTTAACTTGTGTACCTTGCTGGCCGCTGCTTCCGCCTCTAACTTTACCACTTTACCAACCAGAATGGTAGATATTGGGTAGTGAGAGTGACACTGACAACGGTTAAACTAATAATTTTTTGTAATAAAATATCAATATTGGCCATTAGTTTATCGATTATTTATAGCGACAAAAAGCACAACAATATATTGCATGTATATATAAATTAATTTAGTTTTTATAATAATTTCAGCAATGTTATCGTGTAATATGCTAATGCTTAGATGATTTATGCACAATATAGTTTGGAAAGTCATATTTTCTGTAGTTTAGTAGATGTATGAAACACCAATTAAGTTATTATATTGTTTACCACCAAATAAGTGGTTTTAATTAGATTTACACAACACAGCTAGTGTTTTTCGTCCAATAATGAACGTCCAGTGAAAGCTTCATGCGACTATATTAAATTTTTATTTAGTTCCTTTACAGCATTGATGTTGAAAAGTACAAACATAATCAGTTAAATAGACTTAAGCATTCATTTGGTTGTTAAAGCGTAAAACGAGATGAAAGACCGTTTAAACGCAGGCCCTGTCAGTAGCAGCAGGCTAGCGCAGAAACTCCATTGGAAATACTGAGGAAAAATTTATTTCAATATTTTAAAGACATGGCACGAAAAAATATAATTGAATGCAGTGCTTCTTCTTTGTATCTCTCTATCCCACTTTATATAGTATCTCAGAAATAAGACATTAAAAGGGGCGATTTTGTATGGGACGACAATTAACCAGAAGCCCTGAGGCTGAAATTAAAAGTCTGTTTGCATATACCCCATTTATCATGAACAGTGTTAAAATAAGTGTAACCAAAGAGTATCACTTTTATGTGTGATGGAAGCTGAACTCACAGTCCAGAGAGGGTGGTGTTGTGCCAAGTGGTGTTGTAGGAGAGGCTGGGACGGGTGTAGCGGGTGTAGCTGCCATGTCAATCTCTGGATGACTCTGTGACAAACAAAAACATACGCTAATATAAATATCTCTCCATGTATAGCACAAGCCTAATTAGGGTAGGGCGATTAATCGGATTGAAATTGCATGCGCAACTACACAAAACTGCAATTGTTGTACATGTCTTCTTAAGGAACAGCAACGTGATTCAAAGTAAATATCCTCCGAAAGCCAGAGGGCGCTCTTGCGGAAACCAACCAATCCAAATATACATTAAAATCAAACAGGAAATCCTCTAGGGAAAATAGTGGTTGTGATGTTGACATGGTAATGGAATTTTGATACCAATCAGTACTGAAATATTAAAAACATCTATTTCCCCGCCAACATTCAAGCACTGTTGAGTGCGTAACACCATTGATTGGCCATTGTTAAGGACATGAATGCAATGGTCAATCAGCAATGTTTAGGTACATGAGATTCTTTCGATGTCAATATCGACCAATTAAACTAAATTAGAATTGAAACCATTTTTTTGCGTAGCTTATCAGTGAACTGTGATTCTGTGTAGTAAACTCTGCTCCACCTAGAGGGTAAACAGAACTGGCTTCACTGACAAAATGTGCATTCACCTCAATTAAACTGCCAAGATTTAACAGCTTTCATTAATTTAACGTGACTAATAAACATGCAACTACTTAATCATCTCACATAAAAATTTATTTCTAAACAGTCGATGGTAGTTTTGAGGCGATTTTGGAGTAAAAAAAAGCAGCTATATGTTAAAATTCATAGTTCATATGAGAAGTGACGCAAACTGCAGTCATTATTGTAGAACAATTACCTTGACGTCATTATCCGAGGATTAAACTGAATTAGAATTGAGACCAATTTTTTCCAAGATTTAACTGCTTTCGTTAATTTATTGTGACTTATAAACATGCGACCCTTGAGTCATCTCACAGAAAACTTTATTTCAAACAGTAAACGGTAGTTTTAAGGTGGGTTTGCAGTAAAAACTTTATCAAATGTTGTAATTGCGTGGTTTATTTGAAAAGCGATGCAAACAGCTGTTGTATCGTAGAACGATTATCTCGAAGTCATTGTAGACACATTAAACCGACTTAGAATCAAAGCCATTTTTTTGGCATAGCTTATCAGTGAACTAGTGTATGTCGTAAACTCTGCTCCACCTGGAGGTTTAACAGGCTTTACTGGCAAAATGCGCATGCAAAATTTGCCTCGATAAAATCAGCCAGCCCTAAGCCTAATAATACAAGCATTGCAATTACATTCTAGCATTAAATGTAATGCAAAAAAAACACAGAACTTACCTGAGCGAGAACTGTGATGAAGTTTCTGTTGAGATGCACGGCCTCGTACAGAGCCAGCAGAATGGCCTCGTTTGTCCTATACGGCAATGACATCATCAGACACATGGGAAATTTGACATAATAATACAAGGATCTAAAAACCTTAAATGGTGCAGTATAAAAGTGACACCCAGTGACAAAACTCCGTATTGTATTACTGGTTCAAAACACAAGCATGGATTATGCATCTAGCCTACATTTAATAATGTTAAAGAGGTTTAATTTGTATTAATTATATGATAAACCTTAAAATTTCACTGAAGTGCAGTGAGTGCACTATTCTGTGCTTCTGAATGGCTGTATTTACATTTCTGTCAAGTTTCATCTGGTGCAAACAGCCAAATTTGCTTATCACTGCAAATCTCACCATGTAGCGTGTTGTTAGGACACAGGGTTACAATGTAACCTGCTCACCTAATGTTTACGCTCGTAATATTTATGTTATCGGCTAATTAATAACCTCATGTGGAACTCTGAATCTGCATCTCATTTCAGAGTTTGCTACTGTCCACCGGAGGTCGCATTTCAGTTAAGGATGCATCCTTTGAGAGCCTTCCTGAGTGAATGAATGAAATATGCTGTTTTCTATTAATGCAACTCGGGGTGCTGCAATTAAATTGGCTAAACTAGCATTGGGCGGGTTAAATGGACCAAAACTAAGACAGCTGTTCAGACATGTATCTCGCATTTCCAAAGCAGAATATCTGACTTCTGCATTGTTATTTCAGATAAACAAGAATGCTTACTTAGCATGTTTCTGAAATATCTGCAAACATATTATACTATGTTTATGCTTTAGAAGAGTCAGAAACTCACATAAATGAAGTGAGTTTCCCTTAAAAATAGCAAAATATTCTTGATTTCTCTTTGAAATGAGAGTTTCGCTTAGCCCATTGGCAAATTATTTTACTTTTTTACTACATTTCTTATTCCTTTTTTGAACCCTACTGACACCGAGTTTTAACAGGAGTGTATATAAAAAGAAACTGCAACTTTTAACTTTCTGGTCACCAATTAAAATAAAATAAAGACATTAAGATGTTTTGTTTTTTACGTACTGCACTGAAAGCTTCTCATCTGCATCAGCGATAAACATACTGCCCACCTGTGGACAAAAGCAGAATTACAATAAATCAATAAATCAAAAACACTTACATCTTTATACTGTGTTCACACCAGATGCAGAAGGCGCGTCAAGCGTGAGTGATTTAAAGTAAAAACACGAATAGACATCCTGCGACGCAATACTCAGTGCGAATGGTGAAATTCATGCAAATGGCACTGCGAATTGAGCGTTTTCGCGAGTTAAAAAATCAGAACTTAAGCGAACATTCGCGCCAATCAGGAGCTTGCTCTTGTGGGGGCGTGATTGTGATGTACACCTGTTGTTGGTGTCCCGAGGGAAATCCTCCTTTAACCCTTCCCTGGATTTGTCCTGGGGAGAGACTGGAATGGGTCTGCTCCAGGCTGTCTCTGCTTTTTTGGAAAATAGTCCAATAAATTATATTCTTCTGATATTCATAACCTCCAGACTGAGTGTGATTCACTAAGAGAAAAGTCGAAAACCACAACATTTCTGGCAAAAAAAGGTTATAACCACTGCTTTAAGGTGTTTATACAAACTTTGCTCTCATGTTTTACTTTGGATTGTACTTGTTTTCATTGAGGATGTTGCGATTGGATTTACTGATCTGTATATTTTGCGGTTTTATTATTTTATTAATTTTTCTGATAATCGTGTGATACTTTTTCCCCCTTCTGTCTAATGTTTGGGTTTTGCTGTTTGTCGTTGTTTCGCGGTTATGTCATGTCATTTGGGTTTTGATTTCCTGTCTTACTATTATATGTTTGCGATACACTGTTGGCCCCCCCTTGAAAATGAGATAATGCAATATGAATATTAGATATACCAGCCTGATCTCACGAGGAAACATAACTATTTTACGTTTTGTCAGTTAAGTCGCATGAAAATGTACGATTTTAAAAAGAAGGCGTGGCACCAAACCCCGCCCCTAAACACAACTATCCGCTTTTTAAGTGGTGACGTGTTGATGACGTATGTAATACTGTTTCCAGGTCCAAGCTGCCACTCATTTCAGCTGAGAAATTTTTCATTTATGATTACTTTTAATTCTTATCACACATTAAAGTTAATTTTATATAAAGTCATAGAGTACAAAACAATCTCTGGGCTTGCAGCATAACAAATATCAACATTAACAATTTATAAAAAAAAAAAACGAATCACTTTCTGGTCATCGGATATTAGGCATAGACACATATACATCGCGGTTGTGAGTTTCGAAAGTATTACAGCCATTTTTAAACGTTTATTATTAACATTTCATGAGTCTCCCCATACGGTTGAATAGAGCGCTTGGACCCGAAAGCTGATTCACGTGACATCACGCTTAACAAGCCGATAGGGAGATGAGTACCTGTCATTGGGACATGAGCAAATCATACTAAAATGCACAAATGAGATTGTACAAATTCATACAAATTAGCAATTAAATCAAAAAGTTACGAATTGTGAGATTGTTGGACATAGTATTATCGCGATAACAATATAATATATAATATAACCCTAATAGGAAGTGACCAATTTATCTGTACGTAAAAGCTTCTGCATTTGGTAAATATTTATGAGATGTTCATGGACTAGAAACACAGGTAATGATAAGTGGAAAAGGTTTTTTACCATGCTGGAAAGGGTGGAGAAAAAGCCTCCCTGGTTTTCCTCTTCTTTTTCTTTATACTGCCTGCGTAAATCAGATGAATACATGAAATCTTTCATATAAATACCTCTAAAAAACACACACACACACACACACAAATAACAAAGATGTTACCTGTTGTACTCCGTAAGTGCATGATGGATGACCATTCCCAATCCCTACGAAAAGATGAATTATGTTAGATCTCCACATGACGTATAAATCGCCATAAGACAACTCTATATTAATACTAACTATATACAGTTGAAGTCAGAATTATTAGCCCTCCTACTTCATCTTTTCTGTTTAAAGGAAAGATTTCAACACATTTCTAATCATAATAGTTTTAATCAATCATTTCTAATAACTGATTTATTTTATCTTTGCCATGATGACAGCATATAATATTAGACTCGATTTTTTCAAGATGCTTCTACACACCTAAAAGTGACATTTAAAGGCTTAACTAGGGTAATTCGGCAAGTCATTGCATAACGGTGGTTTGTTCTGCAGATAATTATAAAACAAACATTGCTTAAGGACCATGAATGCATGAAAAGAAACATCTTCAACGTACCAAACGTCTTGACTAAACTACTCGAACTAAAAAACAAAACGGCACAAGCTGCATCCCAAATGGCACACTATACACTATGCACTCATGCACTTACACACTCAACAGGATAGTATATGTATGTAGTGTTGTCCCAAATGGCACACTAATGTTTTTTTACTAAGCGGAAATTCAAACCGTTTCCCTGATGACGTTTGACGGTGGCCAAATCAGTGAAATAAACAACCGAATTATCAAACAATACCTGCCGTGAGTATTGCCGCATTCACCATCGGGAGGCGCTATAATCACTCGTAGTAGAATTTTGCTTTCACCATCCAAAATAAATAAAGTTATCCAACATGTGCGTCCGATAGCTCCGCCCCTTCCGCTACGTAAGCAAACCTGCGGTCGTTGAGTGCCTGAAGTGTCCATCAGTCCATCATTACACACTTCATTTTAGCGGCTGAATGAGTGCATCATCCGGGTAATTAAAGTGCACTTAATTTTTTTTAGAGTTTTCAGTATGAACACACTACTTACACTATTTATAATACAAAATGGCGTAGAATAGTGCATAAGTATGCGATTTGGGACACAGCTACACTCTCCTGAACCTAATTATTACTCAAGAGAATCAGTTAACTGGACGAGTTCACGAACAAGCTCATTGCAATCTCGCATAGATTTTAGACAAGAGCATTTATCATGAATCAAAATAAAACTAAATTTCTCTCAGACTAGTCCTCGCAAGAGAGAGACTGTCCTCACGGAGACCCATTTATCACCAAGCCCCAAGAAAGAGTAAGAGTGAGTGTGATCGCCATAGCAGTTAGGGCCGGCTTTTTAAATGCTATGCCGACCAGCGATTGGTGGTGCGATCCCAGTGTCAGCGGGAAACATCATCAGCATGGAATGAGGATCCTCCAATGCCGTTCTTCCCTGAAGCACACATAAAAGACACACCCACACACAGACAGAAGCGCACACACATAACCCCAAAGTATGTTCCTCAGGGGAACAAAACAAGGCTAATAATATTGACCTTAAAATAATTTTTAAAAAATTAAAAGCTGCTTTTAATTCTAGCCGAAATAAAACAAATCAGACTTTCTCCAGAAGAACAAATATTAGAGGAAATACAGTGAAAAATTCCTGAATCTGTTCAACATCAAGGAAATATTTAAAAAAGAAACAAAAATAATAAATGAATAAATAAAAATGTAAAAAAATAAAACAAAACAAAAATCACAGGAGGGCGAATCATTTTGACTTCAACTGTACATATAGCTCAATATTTAATAATGATTGTCCATAATCACTCACGTCCAGTGTGGGCTCGTCGTCCACTATTGATAATTTGACGATGTACGGATTTACAGACTACGAGGAAGACAAGAAACAATAAGTCTCACAGAGATATTGAAACAAAAGTCTCAGATGTTGCAATATTGCGTGCAAACTTCAGTGCTAAATTTGAGGATATATGAAGAGTTCAGGTGCTAAACGCCACTTCCACCAAAAATGAGCTAATGATATTGAGCGAATGCTTTAAGCACGTAATACACCATCAACAAATAGATTTGCTTCTAATTATCTGAATCGCAGTGTGAGCACATATAACAGTTTGATGGGCAAAGGCAAGTGGCATTTATGCGACTTTTGCCATCTACCGAGAACCAACCAGAAGACGCAAATCGAATCATATGTTTTCAATGTAAAGCTGATCTGCTGACTTTTATGAGGCTGTTTTACTCCGCTTTCGATTTCAATTTTAAAAGATGGAGTTCGATGAACTGGACAAGCCTGTCCGCCTGTCAGCGCATGGCAAATGAAAACGTCCCTTACCTCAAAACTCTGTGCATTATAAGGAAAAGAAAACACACTGTACAGTCAGAAGTTTAGCATGCATTCATAACATGTTTTTGCGCGGCTGTGCAACTTTGAATGAGTCTGATTTACTATACATTAAACAGCAACTGCGTTTCACGAAAGACGGAGTTAAGATGCCGTTCTTTCATCCCACGTGGATGCTATGAGGATAAACAAAAGACCAAGACCTCGAGTATGGTGAGAATGAATGAATGACAGCTTCTAAAAGTGTCTGAGAGGCATCCCTATTTTGCCCAGAAGGCCTACCCTGTGTTTTATTTGCTAATTTAAGCTCTTTTTAAAAGACAAATGTAAAGTATAAAACTCTACATTATTTATATTACTTCATAATACGTCTGATCAGCTTTTTAATATTAATGGACAAAGCACAGATAATGAGGTTTCACAATGTTTTAAACTACAATAGTTGAATCTTCCAAGCTTAGCTTACAATGTTTACATCGTTGTACTTACATTAAATCTAAATCCCAAATATCCGAAAATGACAACAGACTGCTCAGATTTAATTAATGTTATTGCTTAATGCACTTGATAGATTTCATTTATTCATTTTCCTTCTGCTTTTTCCCTGGTTTATCACAGCGGAATGAATCGCCACTTACTTGACAGATTTATATATTTTTAATTTTAGGTGTTTTATGTGTTTTTAATTCAATCTTTAGTGATTTTCAACTAATTACACTGTCTTGTCGTGGATTTAGAGGTTTTTGCAAAAAAAAAGCAGACGTGGATTTAGCTGGTTTTGACGCAAAAGAAAATTGACCTTGTTAAAAAACCAAAGAATTGTCTAAAGTGGCACTTATGAAAAAATGTATTTTATTTACTAGCTAATGACCTTATTACATAAAAAAAAAGAAACTTCTGAACATAATTATAGGAGCCTGATAGAAAATGCTCATTCACAAGAAAAGAGGTCTGATGGATTTAGAGGGATTTTGCATCTGAACTCTTCATACAGACTAAAATAAAGGCGTATTTACTTCATATTTCCTGTAGTTGACCAGTAGCGCTAACAGAACGACAGAATCATATCCATGCTGGGATCGACTGGAAACATCTGACAGGATCTGAACAAAAAGACGCAAATTAAATGAATGAAATTAGCATTTAGATAAGAAAAACGATTTAATGGAAAATCAGAGTTTTACCTGTAAGATGGCCTCAAATATACTGTTGATCATCACATACTCCAGTATGGTGTTCTGGCTAATATTATCGGTCACCTAAAAGAAAAAGACAACTTTTTTAAAGCCCACAAAACCTACTACAGTTTGTAGAAATCGTCACTGTTGTAACTGTTATATTGATAATATTAATCAAATTAGTAATAATTAAAGTAATTGTTGCTGCAAAAGTATTTCTACCCAATGTATTAAATAAACTGAGGTTTGTTGGCATATGCTGTGGGAAATAAGTATTGAACACATCACCATATTCACCATTTGCCGTTGGCTTGAAATTTTCACCAGATCTTTATACAACCAAAGAAATCCAAATAGGCAAATAAAACAAATCTAATTAGTTTACAAATTAAGTTATGCATAATAAAAAAGAAATGACGCAGGAAAAATGTATTGAACACATGAAGGGAGCTGTAGTTTGTCAGTGAAAGACAAGACAGCAGCTGAAATCTCTCAGTAGCTCTTCAGCAACCCTCTGCCCTTCCTCAGTGTAAATGAATATCAGCTGCTTCAGTTTAACATCTACAATAGAAGGAGGATGAAGATGAACCCAGGGTGGACATTTCAGCAGGACACTCATTCAAAACACAGCCCAGGAGACTCTCAGATACTTTCAGAGAAAGGAAATCAAGCTGTAGAATGGCCCAGCCAATCACCTGACTTAAATCCAATAGAAATTACACGATAAAGCTGATATTTGATAAACGATACTCACAGATCCATCAAGATTTTGACACTCTGTTGAAGTCTGTAAGATACTCACACCCGAGCAATGCATGAGGCTTCATTCTCCATACTGGAGGCGTCTTTAAGCTGCCGTCACCAATGTAATTATTAAATACATTGCAGTAGTTCAGCACTTTCTCCTTGTGTTATGTCATTGTTATTACACATAACTGGCTTTTTTTTGTTTGTATTTTTGTGTTTGTATTGTTTGGATTTACCAAAATCTGGTTCAATTCCATGTCAACAGCTCCTTTAGATAATAATATCATTCCCAGGAAAAACAAGACGTGTTCAATACTTTCCCTCCCACTGTATATTACTGTTTAGGCTGATAAGAGTATGGTAAATATTATTTATGACAAATAAAACAAGTGAATATCAATATCAATATAGATAAAGAGGAAGAAAAATGTGCAATTGAAGTGTAGTGTGAACACATGATCTGCAAAATACACCTCAAAAAAATAAGTTTCATTTACAAACATGAAGAAAAATGTATTTTAGTGTGCTTTCACACCTACACTCTTGTTTGGGAACCTGTCTCGTTTGCCCAGTTAGCGCGGTTCGTTTGGCATATGTGAAACCACCAATCACGCTTGGGTCCGCAGCAAAACAAACGCTCCGAGATCGCTTGAATGAGGGAGTCTTGGCTCGATTGAAACTCTGGAGTGGATTGATTGTAGTGAGAAAGCAAACGATCCAAGCCCGGTTATAACACAGTGTTTTATGGATATGTAAAAGGCATACAGCTATATGAACGGAGAGTTATGAGTAGGGCGGGAGGTCATTCAACAGACATCCCAAGTCTCCTGGAAGTCTCGGTAGTCTCCCGCAATTGCACATAGACTCCCGGATGCCCGCAAACGAGTGATAATCTCCCGGTAATCACGCGTCTCCCTCCTGGTCCTCAAATACGTCGCGCACCCTTCTCACCCCTCCCCACTGCATCCCTCTTTAAGTTAAAACAATTATTTGTAGAGTAAATAAATTCACAAATAATTACTGTGAAACATGCTAAACTAAAAGTGAGGATTTAATTTAAGAACAATATAATGAAAATGTATAACCTTAAAGTAAAAATCTGTTACACTTTATTTTGATGGTCCGTTTGTTGAATTAAAGTTTCATTGCATCTTCATAACAACTAATTCTCATTAGATTATAAGTAGACTGTTAGGTTGGGGTTTGGGTTAGTGTAAGTTAAACATGTACTTGCTAAGTTTCTTATAGTCAGTTAAACGTCAGCAGTATCAGCAGATATTAAGGAGACAGTCTACTAATACTCAAATGGACCATCAAAATAAATTTTTACCGTAAAAAGAAAAACTATTCGATTTTGTAATTACATTTCGTACAAATAAATTTTCCAAATAGGAAAATATTGGTAATTTATATGCTCAAATATATGCTTGATGCAGGGGTCACCAGTCTCTGTCCTAAAGGGCCGGTGTCCCTGCAGGGTTTAGCTCCAACCTGCCTCAACACACCTGCCTGGGTGTTTCAAGTATACCTAGTAAGACCTTGATTAGCTTGTGTTTGATTAGAGTGGGAGCTCAAATCTGCAGGTCACCGGCCCTCCAGGAACAAGTTTGGTGACCCCCTGCTCTAATGAATGAATGAACGAACGAACGAACGAACGGATCGACCGACCATTCAATCAATCAACCAATCAATCAATCAGTAATTTAAATAATATACAGTATAAACAGTTGTCAAAATTCAAAAAGTCAAACTTATTCGCTTTTCTGTGGATTTTCTTTCTCAAATATTTCCCAGATGATGTTGAATTTTTCACAGTATGTCCGATAATATTTTTTCTTCTAGAAAAAGTCTTATTTGTTTTATTTCGGCTAGAATAAAATCAGTTTTTAATAATTTTAAAGCCATTTTAAGGTCAATATTATTAGCCCCTTTAAGCTATATTAGTTTTGGATTGTCTACAGAACAAACCACTGTTATACAATGACTTGCCTAATTACCATAACTTTACCCTAATTAACCTAATTAAGCCTTTAAATGGCACTTTAAGCTGTATAGAAGTGTTTTGAAGAATATCTAGTCTAATATTATTTACTGTCATCATGGCAAAGATAAAATAAATCAGGTATTAGAAATGAGTTATTGAAACTATTATGTTTAGAAACGTGTTGATATCTTCTCTGCGTTAAACAGAAATTGGGGGGGAAAAAATAAACAGAGGGGTGGATAATTCAGAAAGGCTAATAATTCTGGCTTCAACTGCATATATATGTGGGTTAGCAGGTAAATATGTTTGTTTTTGGTGCAGTGTATCGCCCCATTGATTCCACTGCATAAGTAAATGAGGAAAGTGGAGTGGAGCACAAATAATGCAAACAATTTTCATATGATCTGAAATGAAATGCAGATTTTGTCCATAAAGTGCACAGAAGAACAAGCGTGCGGATCTTACAGTGACGAGACACAGCAGCAGTTTTAGACACAAACTCTTGAGGCTCTCGGATCCGTCTCCACACAGCAGACTGTCCAGACTCTCCATCAGCTCCTGTGCAAACCATCAAAACACAACTTCAACAACACAACAACCAAGACATTCATATTTCTTTAGGCTTAGTCCCTTATTTATCAGAGGTCGAACAGAGGAATGAACTGCCAACTATTTTGGCATATGTTTTACGCCGCTGATGCCCTTCAAGCCGCAACCCAGTACTGGGAAACACTCATCACACACACACACCCTCATATACTATGGTCAATTTAGTTAATCAATTTCCCTATAGCACATGTGCTTGGACTGTGGGGGAAACTGGAGCACCTGGAGGTTCAGGATTGGTAGAGCTACGCATCAATGAATTGGCTCTTCAGTGTTTGAACTCTCAGTAATGACTAAATCACACTGAACTGAGCTAAACTGAACTGTACTGAACTTAAACACTAAAACCTGAACCACACTGTTCCAGTTACTATGACCATTTATGTGAAGCTGCTTTGACACAATCTACATTGTAAAAGCGCTATACAAATAAAGCTGAATTGAATTGAATTGGAGGAAACCTATGCCAACACGGGGAGAACATGCAAACGCGAACCAGCAACTTTCATGATGTGAGGCAACAGTTCGCCACTGTGTCGCCAAAAACAAAAGATTGCATTTAAATAAAAAACGAACCTTCATCCTGAGCTCGGCTTTGTCGAAGCCTATCAGCATGTTGATGATGTCGAAGCCGGTGGCGGATTTGTTTTTTTGGTGAACTCCTCTAAACAGCGCACAGAGCGTCTGCAGAAACAAAGCAAAACATGTCTTGTTTTTGTCGTTTAAGATAAAAGTTGGTCCCACTTGATATTAAGTGACCTTAACTACTATGTACTCAAAGTTAAATGAAGAATTTAGTACAATGCATCTATTATGTACATGTTTTTACATTGTACTAATATATTTGCAAAATGATCTGGCTTGCAATTACATATTTCTGTAATTACATTTAGAATTACACGGTTGACCCTTCCTTTATTTTAACCCAACCTTTAACCTAACTGTCCCTGACTTCACTCTGAGCCCACTTCAAGAGCACCAGAATTGTTGTGCAACACTACATGAACACCGTGGGTACACTGTACTTATTTTCGGATTTAAATACATAGTAATCAAGGCCACCTAATATAAAGTGGCATCTAAATGTCTTATAAAACACAATTGCAAACATGATTAGAAATATCAAGCTTTTTCCCTAAATATATTTATTGGGTTTTGTTTGAACTTCAGAACAAACTAAAGAGAAAAATAGAGAAACATTAAAAGCTCTGAAATCAAACAAATGGTCAAAAGGATGAAAGTAAATACATAAATGAAATACACACATTCAAATAATCACAATACATAACAAAAAATAAAAATATGAAGAAATACACTCACTGGCCACTTTATTAGGTCAAATTTAACGCACATTTCTAATCACAGCGTTCATACACATTTTTACCAGTAAAATTCCATGACTTTCGATCACACTGAACACTTTTCGGTTTTGAGAACGCGAGGTGCATCGTACTGCTTTTTTATTAAAGAGAAAGGCAGTGCACTGTGCTTTTTATGTCGCTAGGCAACCACTGCACCACTGCTGTTGATATCGTTATAATTGTAATATTTTTTGATGTGGTGATATTCAGAATTTCAGAAGTCTTACAGCTTCAGATAACTTGAAAGTGACCTAAAACAGCTAATTATAGCGTGTGCATGAATACATTTACTATGTTTTTGTTTCATGCAATGTCTACATACAGTTTTCGTGGTAAAAGAAAAGCGATGCATGTTTAAATTTATTACAGCATATCTTAAAATACGCAGCAATCTATTTAGTTTCAGTTTATACTTAGCAACTCGATTAAGATAATCTGCTACATTTTACACAGGCTCATGAAAATTGGACAATAGAAGATTGGAAAAACCCTGGTCTGACGAGTCTTGATTTCTGCTGCCACATTCGGATGGTCGGGTCGGAATTTGGCGTCAAAAACATGAAAGCATGGATCCATCCTGCCTTGTCTCAACGGTTCAGGCTGGTGCGGGTGATGGTGTAATGGTGTAGGGGATATTTTCTTGGCACGCTTTGGGTCCATTAGTACCAATTGAGCATTGTGTCAACGCCACAGCCTACCCACGTATTGTTGCTGACCATGTCCATCCCTTTAAGACCACAGTGTAACCATCTTCTAATGGCTACTTCTAGCAGAACAACCTGCCATGTTATGTCAGACTGGCTTCCTGAACATGACAATGAGTTCACTGTACTCAAATGGCCTCCACAGTCACCAGATCTCAATCCAATAGAGCACCTTTGGGATGTGGTGGAATGGGAGATTCGCATCATGGATGTGCAGCAGACAAATCTGCAGCAACTGCGTGATGCTATCATGTCAATATGGGGCAAAATCTCTAAGGAATATTTCCAGTACCTTGTTAAAACTATTCCATGAAGGATTAAGGCAGTTCTGAAGGCAAAAAGCGGTCCAACCCGGTACTAGTAAAATGTACCTAATAAAGTGGCCAGTCAGTGTATTTAAGCCTTCAAATGTCACTTTGACCTGAATACTAGTATCTTGAATAATATCTAGTCAAATATTATTTACTGTCATCATGGCAAAGTTAAAATAAATCAGTTATTAGAAATAAGCTATTACAACTATTATGTTTAGAAATGTGTTGAAAAGATCCTCTCTCTCTTAAACTGGGGGAATAAAACATACAGGGGGCCAATAATTCTGACTTCAACTGTGTATTCCAGCAAAACAAAACATTGCGATGTCAGTTTTTTTCCAATATTATACAGCCCCACTTCGTACAAATATTCTCCAAATGCTGATGCGTTGTACCTGAAGAGCATTGACTACTTTGATCTGGTGCTCTTCGGCCAGAGCTTGAACACAGTGATGAAACAAACTGTTGATGTTGTCTTTGATCTTCATGAACTCATCTCCATCCAGAGACTCCAGCTTCCCCTCCAGATACTCCAGATTGACCTGAAAGAAAATACAGAGATCAATAATATACAGCATAAGTTTTAGTTATTATACTTCTGAATGTAATTTTTGTATGCAGTCTTGGTCAACATTGTGATAATAATACTGTATTTCTCAATAAAAGCTTCAGCAAACTAATCGCAAGAACAAAACTTGATACCATCAAAAGCCTAGGATATCTGCCACTGACCTTCATCAAGAAGAGCTCATCCCAGAAGCGAGGACTGTTCTTAGTCGGGTCTTCTTTCTGTTGGCAAAGAGCAAAAACTTTGTTCAGGGGTCTAATACGACTTCATGACATAATCCTGGATTATTTTGTTAGCCTTTCCTTTGTGTTCAATTTACCTTAAGTTCATATTTATTATACATATTTAAAAAAAAAACAGGTATTTTATATACTCATCTATAGTTTAAATTTATTACCCTTTCGTTATGTTTGGGATAAAAACATCTACATTTAAAATTTAAAAAAAAAAGCTTAGTTAGTGGTTTTTATATGGATTTAAAGGCCGATCAAACTGAACACTTTTCAGTTTTGAGAATGCGAGGTGCTTATTAAAGAAAAAAGCAGTGCACTGCGCTTTTTATGTCGCTAGGCAACCACTGCACCACTGAGCGCTGCTGTTGATATTGTTATAATTGTAATATTTTATAATGTTGCGATATTCAGAATTTCAGAAGTCAAACAGCTTCAGATAATTTGAAAGTGACCTAAAACAGCAAAATATAGTCTGTGCATAAATACATTTACGATGTTTTTGTTTACTCCATGTAGTTCTGAGAGCTGATTTTCTCAGACATATCAAGGTAAATGCACAAAGGTCTCCCTCACTCACTGACTCACTCATACTATAGTCCAAATAAAAGCCAGAAACTAAGCACTGCACTATGCACTGCAACTGATGATAATCGGTAAAAACACAAATTGTACCCCTTCCCAAAAGGGAAAACCACCAACAATCATGCATGATTACATGGTGTCGTGGCTTTGCAACTAAAAAAATGGCATTATAATGGAAGTCAATGAGGTAAAAAAAAAGCCACCAACATAACGAAAGGGGAGTCAATTTGCCAAAAGTGTACTGTTGGGTTCTTGACAATCCTGAAAGCATTTTCATTTTTTTGCATTTACTTTTAAAAAGTTTTCATCACACCACTCAACCAATGAACATAAACAGATTGTTTATTGTTATTATTAGTGCCTTACTGAATGAACACTGTGCTACATCCGAAATACTGCACTATTATGTCTTTCTTTTCTTTTTTATTCCTTTAAAACATTTTCAAAACATTCCTTTAAAACAATTTTATTAATTTTTGCTTTTTATTGTTTTTATATCTTATACTTGTATTTTATGTTTCTTTTACTCCTGTTTATGTAGAGCACTTTGCATTACCATTGTGCATGACATGTGCTATATAAATATAAAATAATATTTTAATAATCAATAATTTGTGTTTTTTTCATCAACTAAATTGAAGCACAAATTACTCAATTTAGGTCAGAATGATTTCTCTATAATTTTTCAAACTCTTCTCACTTTTTATGGGTTTCAGTCTTCTGGGGCCACATGTATCAACGCTGCGTACGCACAAAAACTTTGCGCACGCCAAGTTTCACGCTCACGTTTGGATTTACTAACGATGAAATGAACATGAGAATGTGCGTTGGTCTACGACAACTTGTCTGGCGTACGTGCATTTCTTGTGTGTGTTTGTTTTATTTCCATTGGCGACTCCTAGAGGCAGTTGTGTTAAATTGCACACTACAAAGTATCTTTGAGCCGTGCAATGGCAGCTGTATGAGACGGGATCATCCGCATATCTAGCATGTATATAAGGTTTCCATATTATGCAGTTGACCAGCCAAAAATTAAAGCGCAATTTTCAGCGATCACCGGTTTTCCCAATGTAATCGGAGCGATCGACTGCACGCACATTGCTATAAAGGCGCCATCTGAAGACGAATATGCATACGTGAAATCGGAAACATTTCCATTCTATAAATGTGCAATTAATTTTTGATGCTTAAATGAGCTTAACATAATACACACACTTATTAATGATCCCTACTTGTCTTCCTCGTGATGAAGAGTAGGCAAAATCTGATATGTAGTGAGGGAAAAAAGAAGATGAGTTCATCAGACGCTGGATTCGAACCGAGTTCAAGATTGATAGTGTCAAAACATGTTACCATGCGCTTCACCAGCTACGCCACTCGCGCAGTTGATGTACACTCTCTTTAATTTTGTCGTCTCTGTCTATCAAACAGGCGAGAGTCACTCTATTTGCACTTAGCCTAAATAGACACTACAAAATTGTACACCTTTACATCTGGCTACTTCTTTTTTAATTCACTCACAGTGCGATGTTCAGACCCCACCGCGTTAACCGCGTCAGCTAAACTCTCCCACTCTATTTTTTTTTCTTTTGTTATTAATTCTGAAGGACAAATTTGCAAATACACCGCTTTTTTCCAGTCTACCTCTGTTAAGAGCACGTCCAATTCACATTCTGTTCAAAGTTTATCTTTTTACTTGCTTTTGTCATTGCTTTTTCATTTGGTTTTGCCAAAGTCGAGTCATTAGCATATTCATTAGGGGGAGGAGGCAGGGAGGGGTTTTGCACTCGTGCACATGCTCTCAGTTTCACGTTAATTCGGATATAGAAAGAGTATATGCGTAGGATTCAGCGTACGCAGTGTTTCATACATCTGCTAAAGTACATTTACAGCCTTGTCAATACGCAATGTTTTAGTATGAATTCAACGCAAGTCTTCGTACACGAGGCCCCTGGTGAACACAAAAAAGGATACTCTAAAAAATGTTGAATAAAAACAGCTATTATCATCAATAGTAGGAACAAAATAACTTTATATTTACCTTATTTATACTTAAAGCCCCTTATTTTGAGTTGAACAGATAAAAAAAAGAGACTCAAACAGGTTTGGATCAAGCTGAAGGCGAGTAAATGATGACAGAATTCATTTTTAGGTAAACTATGGCTTTAACATGCATCTCTGAAATGAAAATAATAATGAAATAACTTACCATGAATATCTCATCATACATCAGCACCACCTTCTCCTTCAGCGGTTTCTTTGAGGAGGACGTTCTCCTCAGCAGACCTGCTTTCTTCTCAGTCTGAGCCATAGCTAACAAACACACACACACGCTACAAAAACACACATTAGTAAGACTAAATCTTCCTTACTTCAGGCAAGACACTGCGAGTGAAGAGGGTAAAAAGCCTAATATATCTGTCTTTACTAGTTTAAATACAGATGAAGGAAAAATTATGATCCCTCCGGTGTTTTTATATATATGTATATGAGCAATTCCAGCGTTATGGATGTGACATTTGCAGTAAAAACTCAACACATAAATTGACAGAGAAAGTATATGGCTGATTCCAGCGTTATGGATGAGACATTTGCAGTAAAAATTCAAAACATAAATTAGCAGAGAAAGTATACGTTAACATTATATTGAACCATCTGTTTATATTTTCCAAAACAACTAACCACAGAGTTATGGGATCAAAAAAATTCAATCTGTGAACATTTTTATACTTTAAATGTGGAAAATAAACAAGCGTTATGGATGTGACAAAAAAAGTCTGCGAGTTTACAGTATACAACATATTTCGTAGAAATTCTGTGAATTAAACTGCACAACCCAAAATAAATAATGCTCAACAAAAGGTTAAGAGTTGGCTCTTTATAGAACAAAACTGATTGATTTTATTTTATTTTGACATTTTTGCATTTTTGAGGGAAAAGCTTTGTTATGGATGTGACACTTTTTCGTTATGGATGTGACGGATGTGAAATTGCCATTTGTTTGACTTTGGTAAATCAAATATAATAGTTTGAAAACATTGACAGAGACATTTTTAAGTATTTTTAAAGTACTGTAAAACACTTGCCTGCGCAAAAAATGCAGAAACGGTTTTGCTATTTTGGTGAAAACATTTTTCTTTTCATGGCAAGGTTGACATTTTCATGGAATTGCTCATATGTTAACATTATATTGAAAAATTTGATTATATTTTCTAGAGCAACTAGCCACAGAGTTTTGGGAGCAGAAAAATATCAATCTGTAAACGTGTTTTGTACTGTAAATGAGGAAAATAAGCATGCGTTATGGATGTGACAAAAAAGTCTGAGAGTTTACAGTATACAACACACTTTGTAGAAATTATGTGAATTAAACTGCACAACCCAAAAGAAATAATGCTAATCAAAAGGATTAGAGTCGGCTCTCTACAAAACAAAAATGATTGGTTTTTTTTTATTTAATATTTTCACATTTCTGAGGAAAAAGTGTCGTTATGGATGTGACATCTCTCTGTTATGGATGTGACGCATGTGAAATTACCATTTGTGTGACTTTGGTAAATCAAAAAGAATAGTTTAAAAAACATTGACAGATGCATTTTTGAGTATTTTTAAAGTACTGTAATATACTTGCTTACACAAAAAACCCAGAAATGGTTTCCGTATTTTGGTGAAAACTTTATTTTTTTTTCATGGCAAGGTTGACATTTGCACGGAATTGCTCAAATAAATATATATATATATATATATATATATATATATATATATATATATATATATATTTCCCAAGTGATGTTTAACAGAGCAAGGACATTTTTTACAGTATTTTGTTGTTTGTTTGTTTTTATTTTGAGAGGAATAAAAGCAGTTTTCAATTGTTTAAAATAACTTATAATTAGGTCAGCCTAATATTTTTATTTATTTTTTATTTGGCTAAAGAACAAACCACTGTTGTCCAATAACTTGCCTAATTATCCTAATTAACCTTTAAATGATACTTTAAGCTGAATACTAGTGTCTTGAAAAAAAATATCTAGTCAAATATTATTTACTGCCATCATGGCAAAAACAAAAAAAAAATAGTTATTAGAATTTAGTTTCCTGTATTCTATATTATAATTCCACAATATGTATAATACACTACCTGACAAAAGTCTTGTCATCAATCTCAGTTGTAAGAGCCACAAATAATAACTTGACTTCTAGTTGATCATTTGGAAAAGTGGCAGAAGATTTTGGATTTTTCTGATGAATCATCTGTTGAGCTGCATCCCAATCATCACAAATACTGCAAAAGGCCTACTGGAACCAACATGGAGCAAAGATTCTCATAGAAATCAGACAATTTTTGTAAAGGAAACATCATGGTTTGGGGTTACATTCAGTATGAGGGCGTGCAAAAGATCTGCAGAGTGGATGTCAACATCAACAGCCTGAGGTATCAAGACATTTGTGCTGCCCATTACATTACAAACCACAGGAGAGGGCAAATTCTCCAGCAGGATAGCGCTCCTGCTCATACTTCAGCATCCACATCAAAGATCCTGAAAGCAAAGAAGGTCAAGCTGCTCCAGGACTGGCCAGCCCAGTCACCAGATATGAACATTATTGAGCATGTCTGGGGTAAGATGAAGATTGAAGATGAACACAAAGTGTCTTGATGAACTCTGGGAGTCCTACAGGAATGCTTTCTTTGCCATTCCAGATGACTTTATTAATAAGTGATTGGAGTCATTGCAGAGATGTATGGATGCAGTTCTCCAAGCTCATGATGGAGTCAGACACAATATTCAGTCTGTCTCCACTGCAGCAGACTTTATATTCTATACTAAACATTATTTCTTTTCAGTGACAAGACTTTTGTTTAAGCAAACTCAGACCTTACTGTCCTAATGAAATTGTTAAAAATCAAGGCATGACCATTTTTTATTGTGCTCAAATAAGCGTAATCTAGAGGCCTTTACCTTTTATATAAGCCACTTCTGATACCAAATCATCAACTAGAAGTCCAGTTATTATTTGTTGTTTCTAAAACTTGGATAGGCGACAACAGATCAGGTAGTATGTGCAGAAAAGCAAAATATCACAGTGTCATTTTTCTCCAATATTGTGCAGCCCTACTTGAAAGTGTAAATATGTTACGTTTTTGTTCCACTGGCCTGAAAAAAATACTTTAAGAAAAGCCAAAAAGGTTGAAATATCAAAACTGACAGAAGCATAAAAATAGAGCTTTTGTCCACAGTGTCATAGAGGTAAAGTTGGTTTAATATGCACACATTCTTTCATTTAGTAGTCTCTATATTGTTTACCATGTTACTTTGAATATTCGATAAGAATTAGCATGCAAGTATGACTTCTAAACAACAGTAACACTATCTAATTCACCGTGAGCAATGCTGTACTTTGATAGTCATTTGCTGCAAATATGATTTTCCTATTTAGAATTTGCAAAGAATACTTTTCTGAAATGATATTATTAAGGGGAATGTCTGAAAATCCGAATATAAAACCAACTTTACCTCCATCACAGTGTCTTGCCTCAAATTCACAGTGTCTTGCAGTTAATTCTGGCTACTCAGGGGTTTAAATGAGGTATAGATGGTTTTATATTCGCACTTTCAAACCTTTGGCGTTTACTAAATAAAACTGGTAAAAAATTGTTGTTATGTTAGAACTATGGAGGTTAGTATTATTTATTTATTTGGTTTTTTATTTATTCATTGTTTTATTTATGCAGAAGTTTATTTATTTGTTCATCTATTTATTTGGGTGATTATTTGAGTATTTATTTATTCGTTGTTTTATTTTTGTAGGAATTTATTTATTTATTTATTTATTTGGGTATTTTGGGGTAGGGTATTTATTCATTGTTTTATTTAAGCAGAAATGTATTTATTTATTTATTTGGGTTTTTATTTATTCATTGTTTTATTTATGCTGGAATTTATTTAGTTATTTATATTTATTTATTTATTTATGGGTTTTTTATCCTGGAATTTGCTTATTTGTTTATTTATATATTTGTTTATTTGGGTATTTGTTTATTCGTTTTTTTTTTTTGTAGTAATTTATTTATCTCTATTATTTGAGTATTTATTTGTGTATTTTTATTTGGGACACATCACAGTGTCTTGCAGTAAATTCAGGCTACTGAGGGGTTTAAATGAGGTAAAGATGGTTTTATATTCACACTTTCAAACCTTTGGCGTTCAATAAAACAGTACAGCATGATTTAAAAAGGCAGTATTTAAAATACAGATTAATATCACACGCTGTTATGAACACAACTTGTGATGCTATCCCTATATTATTTATCACGCTACTTTAAATCTTTGGTCTTAAATTACATACAATTATGACTTCAGAACAAACATTAGATAGAGGTAAAGTTGGTTTTATATTCGCACATTCGTACATTTACCAGTCTCTATATTATTTACCATGTTACTTTGAATATTCGATAAGAATTAGCATGCAAGTATGACTTCTAAATAACAGTAACACTATCTAATTCACTGTGAACAATGCTGTACTTTGATAGTCATTTGCTGCTAAAATGATTACCCTATTTAGAATTTGCAAAGAATACTTTTCTGAAATTAAGTTATTAAGGAGAATGTCTAAATAACGTTATCTGAATTTAAAACCAACTTTACCTCTATAAACATTAGCACTATTTAAATGACTGTGTGAACAATGTTGAACTTTGATAGGCATTGGCTGCTAATATGACTAAGCATTTGTAAAGAAAACATTTATGAAATTATATTAAGAAGGTGAAAGTCTAAATGTCAAACTATGAAACTAACTTTACCCTCAATAAAGTTTAAGGGTATTTAAGCACAGCCCCTGTTTACATCCATGTGTTGTGACAGATTAGCTTTAGCATGTAGCTTCGTAACATAATATACATTAACAAACACTTCACAAGGTACGTTATCATCATATTCATAACTTAAAAAACGTGTTTAATTAATAAAAATGAATATTAATGAATGATAAGTGAGTGTAGAGTCCATTCGGGATGGTCATGCTAGTTGATGAAGGCTAAACTGTTTGACTGTGTATTAATAACTAACGTTAAATAAACACAATTATCACTATGGCGATTAGCTTTGGCATTCAGGCAAGTCTTTAAATGGGAGGTTATATGTATAAAGAAAAGATTTAAACAGTTTGATCATACCTGAGTAAGTGAATCACTGTATTTGTTCCATCACTCTTGAAGCTAAACAGAATCTCTCGGCTGTCTTCCGGTGGGAGCGGAAACCCCGCCCCGCCTGTTGCGGGATGTAACGTGTTTATATTTATTGCACCATGTTTGGACGCTCTGTTGGAATTGTATATTTGTTGTTGCTGTCTCTAATAAAAATATATATTTTAAATAAACAACTGAATGAATAAAAACGTGTTCCTATGATAGTGAATGAATAATAACGTTGTTGAAAGATGTTTTTTTTCTCATTTTTAAAACAAACCATATTTATCAGGTGATCACTTTAATATTGTTCAAGATATTGCAGTGTATGGAAGACTAAACCTGCAAAAACAATAATAAATATGTTATTTTTTAATAAATAAATTAGTCAATTCCCCCATAAAGAAAACAACGAATAAATAAAAACCCAAATAAATAAATAAATAAATACATTTCTGCATACATAAAGCAATGAATAAATAAAAATATCCAAAAATACGCAAATAAGTGAATAAATAAATAAATAAATAAATTCATGCATAAATAAAACAACGAATAAATATATACCTCAAAAATACCCAAATAAATTAATACATTCTTAAAAGAATAAAACAATGAATAAATAAACACCCAAATAATAACCCAAATCAATAAATCAATCAATCAATAACTACATTTCTGCATGAATAAAACTTATTTATTTATTTATTTATTTATTCATGTATTGTTTTATTTATGTAGGAATTAATTAATTAAAGTAATTAAATAAATACATTCCAACATAAAACAATGAATAAATAAATACCCAAATAAAAAAATATATTTCTACATAAATAAAATAATGATTAAATAAAAACCCAAATAAATAAATAAATAATTTAATAATTAATATATTTATTTATGGCAATTCATTCCGCTGTGTCGACCCCAGATTAATAAAGAGACTAAGCCAAAAAGAAATTGAATGATGAATATTTATTTGTTTATTTGCGTTTTTATCTATGTATTGTTTTTACAGGTACCATCCTCTATATCAGTGGTCAGTTATGCAATTTAGTTAATTTACTTAATTAAAAAAATACTTGTTTATGTTAAAACTATGGAGGATAGTAATATTTATTTTGTTTGGGTTTTTATTTATTCATTATTCGTTATTTATGCAGAAGTTTATTTATTTGTTTATCTATTTATTTGGGTAATTATTTGAGTATTGATTGATTCGTTGTTTTTATTTTTTGTAGGAATTTATTTATTTATTTGGGTATTTATTTGGGTATTTTGGGGTGGGGTTTTTATCCATTGTTTTATTTAAGCAAAAATGTATTTAATTGGGTTTTTATTTATTCATTGTTCTATTTCTGCTGGAATTTATTTATTTATTTATTTATATTTATTAATTTATTCATGGTTTTCTTTACGCGAGAATTTACTTATTTGTTTGTTTATTAATTTATATATTTAGGTAATTATTTGGGTATTTATTTATTTATTTGTTTTATTTTTGTAGTCATTTATTTATTTATTTATTTGGGTTTTTATTTACTCATTGTTTTATTTATGCTGGAATTTATTTATTTATTTATATTTATTTTTATGGGGTTTTTAATGCTGGAATTTACTTATTTGTTTATTTGGGTAATTATTTGGGTATTTATTTATTTGTTCTTTTGTTTTTGTAGTAATTTATTTATTTCTTTGTTTATTTGAGTATTTATTAGGGTATTATGGGGGTATTTATTTATTTATAGTTTTATTTATGCAGAAATATATTTATTTATTTATTTATTTATTTATTTATTTATTTATTTATTTAGGTATTTTTGCACATTTATTGCTGCATTGCTTTATTTATGCAGAAATTTATTTATTTATTTATTTATTTATTTATTTATTTGGATATTTTTGGATATTTATTTATGCATTGTTTTATTTATACAGAAATGTATTTATTTATTTATTTGGGTTTTTATTTATTTATTGTTTTATTTTTGCTTGAATTTATTTATTTATTTATTTATTTATTTATTTATTTATTTATTTATATTTATTTATTCATGGGTTTTTTATGCTGGAATTTACTTATTTGTTAATATATTTATTTGTTTATTTGGGTATTTATTTATTTGTTCTTTTGTTTTTGTAGTAATTTATTTCTTTATTTATTTGAGTATTTACTTATTTGTTTATTTACTTATTTATTTATTAGGGTATTTATTTATTGTTTTTGCAGGTTTAGTCCTCCATAGGGTATGATAGATTCCCTTATTATTATTTTTTTTTCACCTGCAGCTCTACTTGTTCACCAGTAGGCAACGCCACATTCACATCATTCACATCTCAGCAAGAGCACAAACACACCATGAGAAACCTGCCTCTTATAAAGAGCATAATCGCAGAAAGCTGATGTGCGAGAGACTCCAGTCTTCCTCAACTCACGGTGGAGTAAATCACAGGGTAAGACAGCATCTTTACTCACTTTTACCACTTCAGAAATTCCCGCTTTAAAGCTATAGAGTAAAATCACACGACTAATAATGACGTTTATGCTAATATAAATACGTTAACGCTATACAAGGCTGATTTAGTAGCTAACACGAACAAACAATTAAAATACGCGTGTTATAGTGTTTATTAATCGTTAGTTAATTGTAATAAAGTCGTAATAGTGTTAATAAACATTAATTATATTTAAATAACGTTAAACTTTGATTAATAAATGCTATTTTTGGGCATTAATTCATGTTAAATACGTTAACTAATATTGTAAACTGACTATAGCTAGCATATAGTAACGGTTTTCTGAATGCTGACTCGCAACGCACGTTTCTTGGAGTTGCGTGAGTTTATTTACGTAAAGATTGAGTGTTATCTTGTTTATAAATTCAACATAATGTTATATCACACACACATATGCTTCTTCTGAATGAGAATTAACTACTGATCACATGAATAGGAGGTTTCGTTGAACAGAAAACAACAATTTCATGTGGAAGTTGCTGGAGGGCTTTGTCAGATAAATATGGTGTCTACTAGTTGGTACTTGCCTTCCTACTGTTCAAATATCTGTAATAACCTTGTACTGTAGATTGCACTCGGTTTTATTTGAGCTGGTGCCTTAAAAGTCTACAACACTTGATGTTCATCCTCAGGGAGAGAGACTAAACACAATAAAACAACTCATTACATGTAATATTGTAGTGGGTCGAATATTTCCGAGTGTCGAAATGAGATCTGACTTGCACACTTCAGTTCTGTGGTGATTTATAGTACATAATACACTCGATAAAGAAAAAATGCTGGGTTGTTTTATTCTAAGTTTGGGTCAAATATGGACAAATCCAATTTTAGGTTAACATTTTCAATTAAATGTTGATTACACTAGTGAATGGTTGGGTTTGTTCATATTTGACCCAATCTTGGACAGAAAATTCTAGAAGGGATACAGCTGCACATCAATATACTGTGAGGCTTGGGGGTAGGGGTGGACATAAATAAAATACAATTTAATGGGTTATTTGATAAATAATATGAATAATAATCTGTATAATGACTGTTTTTACATTACTGTGAGGGTTGTGGTAGGGGTAGACGTTAATAAAATACAATTTAATGGGTTATTTAATAAATAATATGACTAATAATCTGTATAATGACTGTTTTTGCATTACTGTGAGGGTTGGGGTAGGGGTAAACGTTAATAAAATGCAATTTAATGGGTTATTTAATTTGCATGGTGGCGCAGTGGGTAGCACAATCGCCCCACAGCAAGAAGGTCGCTGATTCGAGCCCCGGCTGTGTCAGTTGATGGTGTTCCTGTGTGGAGTTTGAATGTTCCCCCCGTGTTTGCATGGGATTCCTCCGGATGCTCCGGTTTCCTAACACATGTGCTATAAGGAAATTGGGTAAGCTGTGAATGTGAATGAGTGTGTATGGATGTTTTCCAGTGATGGATTGCAGCTGGAAGGGCATTCGCTGCGTAAAACATGTGCCTGATAAGTTGGCGGTTCATTCCGCTGTGGCGACCACGGATTAATAAAGGGACTAAGCCAAAAAGAAAATGAATGAATGAATGAAAAAATATCCCAATTTATGATCTGTCCATATTTGACCCAACGTTAAGAGTTTAGAGTGTATATTTAGTAGTAGTGTGTTCAAAGCAATTATACAGTTAACTCCACAACAAATTTTTTTGGTAAATTCTTTACTATATAATTGTTTAAAAACAATAAAGTATTTAATATTTAAAAAAATGGGGGGGGGGGGGTCTACTGGAGATGTAATTTGCACAAGGACAATGTGACATTTCCAAAAAACAAAAAGTGGCTTAATTACATCCCCGAACTGGGTGATGGGGCACAATTTGGACACTGTTGTTTTTGTGCTGCAATCTGGAGGTCTGTGCCAAGTGGCTGAGCCAGGGTCAACAGCGGTTTAATTTGCACCAAACAATGCAATCTTTGCAACATGGATGAAATGTAATTGGGGTTTAGGTGGGAATGATGGTTTGTGAGTGTGTAATGTGGTGTGTGTGTGTGTGTGTGTGTGTGTGTGTGTGTGTGTGTTCTTAGGTCGTAATGCTGGGGATCTGCTTGTGTTTGAGTGTTGCCGTCCACTTTGCGGTGTCTCAGGAAGCTGAAGCTCAGGAGCCGGTCACATACACGGCAAGTAGACCAACATTTGATGAACATGATATATATGAAAGAGAATTATGGGAACTGTTTGACTGTTTGGTTGGACTGTTTTATTCATGTTGTTGAATTTGCTGATTGTTTTACTTTATTTTTGATTTAATGATCTTGTTTTGATTAATATTTAATAAATTTTTTAGATAGATAGATGGATGGATGGATGGATGGATGGAGATAAAATGATGGAGGAATGGATGTCTAAACAGATATACAGACGGACGGACGGATGAACAAAGACAGACAGATAGACAGTTAGATAGATAGATAGATAGATAGATAGATAGATAGATAGATAGATAGATAGATAGATAGATAGATAAATGGAACAAAGTAAGGACCCATGGATTGATTGATTGATTGATTGATTGATTGATTGATTGATTGATTGATTGATTGATTGATTGATTGATTGATTGATAAAGTAGTCACTTAGTTTGTCACTTTTTGTCCTATATTCATTATTTGCTGTCTGTCTTGTTTGCAGTGCACTGAAGGGTATGAGTTTGACTTTGAAAAGCAAATCTGTAAAGGTAATGTGACTCTTTTCCCACTGGACGAATATTTCATACTAGCTCATTTATTGGCTGTTATTTATTTTTACTGTCTCAGGTTTTGTTTTTGTCAGATTTATACGAGAATATACTGTACATTTATAGCCATGCAAAAAAACAAATCACTTTGCTCCACAAGTTAGACCTGTGCTAAAAACGAATTTGCTGATCCAGTTGTGCTTCTTTCTATACTATTTGCAGATATAGATGAGTGCAAAACAGTGCTGGAAGCTTGCAAAGGGGGCATGAAATGCATCAACCACTTTGGCGGGTACCTCTGCCTACCTCACAATGCGCGGATAATTGTCAGTAACGGTGAAGGTGAGCCCACTACAGCCCCGCCAGTGGAAAGATTTCAGCCTGTGATACCCCAAATTTCCAGAGGCGAATTCTCAAGGGTCATACAAAGCTCTTCGCACTCAATCCAGTGTGGTGTCGGGTTCATGGCAGACTCCCAGAACTACTGCAGAGGTGAGCTATTCACTTGCTAATTGCAGTTTAGTGACTTCATTTATGAGCCCAATCCTGCAAATGGTGTGTTTGTAATTGTGTGTTGTTATATGTCAAATATAAATCACTGCACTCTTCCAGAGTTTGGTGCTGTTATGATCACCAGCAGTGTTGCCCTTGCAGGCTGCTGGAGAACAGTCCCTGTCATTCTATCAAACTACAAATCCCACCATGGCCTGCACTCACACACCAGTTCCAGATCATCCCCTGATTACAGACAGTATTTAAGCACAACAGACATATTTATTCTTTACTCAGTTTCGATGCATGTTCTAATGTTCCTTGTTTTCATTTTTTGCTCTTTATATTTTGATTCTCGGACTGGTCCTTGTTTTTTTATTGTTTGCTGCCTACCCTGACCTTTGCCTGTTTTGTGGATTACTCTTTTGGAATTTCTTTGCATCACTGTTTTGCATTTGTCTTCTAGTGGTGGGCAAAGCGAGGCTTCATGAAACAATGAAACAAAGTAAATGTGTCGAAGTTTCGAAACGTTACAAATCAGGTCTCTTCACTGACACCTAGTGGTCATTTTTTATGCATTGCTCTAGCTTTAGGGCAAGTCATTTCGCTCTGTGGTCATTGAAAAAACCTCTCGGGCATTCTGTTTTAATGGGGAAACATCAAATTCTCCAAAACTGTTTGCCAAGCTTATTATTAGATTTAATATTTGGAATCACTGATAAGATTAAACGACAGCTGTCTCTTAAGTTTTGCCACTAAACCTTTGAATTACACAAAATCTGTTTTTTTTTCAAATGCACATGCACGCTCAAAGAGAACGGGATTACAACAACAACCTTCTTTATGGCTGCTTCTGTTTACGTGTTACACATTATCATCCTTTGCATAATTCCCTTGTTTAATCGCGCTGGTCTTCTGAAGTAATTCCCAACTTGGTCTTGATGGCAAATCTGTGTTTACAAGTTCGTGGGCATTTGTGTAGTTGCAGTCGTGCGTTTCACGAGACAGATTGTACCTTGTGTTATTTTTATATAGATTACAAAACCACAGAACATTTGTTTACAAGTGTAGTTGGTTCATTTAATAGTAGAGATTTCAAGCTTTATGTAGATATATTTGTCATGTCTGTGAGTCAAAACTTCACTGAGATTCCTGTGCATTTGCCGACCCCAGATGGTTCATAACAACAGCAGAAACTGTTGTAAAAACACACATCTGCACCTAGCGATCGATGATTGGCTCCTGTACAAGGTGGGGCTTTATTAGCTATGTTTCAATCCACCTATTTTTATGTGCGTTTTGCATATGCGCATAAAAAAACGGTTGATGAAAACACCATGATGTGCATAAATTTTGAGGATGTGCATAAAAAAACTTTATCCGCATAACTGACTAGGATAAACTTTTTACTCGATAAGAAAAGATGCTCATAGACTATGATGGAAACACTTTTACCGAACAAATTTCAGTATGTGCATAAAAAAGGTCTTGTGATTTTGTTATAGGAGATCATGTGATGATGAAAATGTTTGTAAATAGACATACCAGCAGGCTAAGCCTGCTGAGCAGGCCGTAGCAGGCTGTAAACCACCTAAACTGTTGTTTTGGTCCTTTTAAACGCCTTTAAGTATTGGTGTTATTATATTAATAATGACCTGCTCCAGAATCAGGAGCGTCTGAGCTCCTCGTCTGACACCTTCAAACGCCACCTTGCCTTCTGAGGCATTTATTAAATGAATAAAAGATTGACGCAGCTTCTCCTACCGCAGCAAATTCAGTTTTTGCTGTTGATATTTGCTGCCAGTTAATTAGGAAGTGATGATTTTGTTCGCTTTGACTCGTTGGATGGAAACGCTGTTTTATTCGCACATCTTTTATGCGGTAATCCCTTTTTACACATAAAGTTTATTCGCATTTTGAGATGGAAACATAGCTATTCACCATATTGACTGCTCCACTTTTCCCCATTCAAAACTATACAAGAGGCATGTCTTGTGTATTTTATAGTCGTTGTGCGGACTCAACTTAATTTATTCAGTAATACAACTAGGGGGGAAAATAGCATTGACAGTTTTTACTAGTGTATTAGCATATAGCTAATACGCTTCCTACACCTAAGATATAAATGTTGCTTCCGAAATGTGTATATATACAATATGCATGGCAACATTTAACAAGAAAAGATGATCTCTGTGCACAAAATATGTATTACGACACCTAACAGTAAGAGTAAACGGACCATGCTAACAAGCCAAACACTGACCCATTGGGAAGCAATTGTATCACTCATCAGGAAGTCATTGTATCAGCTTAGAAGATGCAGTGCCAGAAATCCACTTCCTCTCAATCTGTCTTCTGCTATCTGGTGGATGAACCAATTTCTGTGTGTGTGTGTGTGTGTGTGTGTGTGTGTGTGTGTGTGTGTGTGTGTGTGTGTGTGTGTGTGTGTGTGTGTGCTGATGTGTTTTTCTTTGCCAACTTGATAGAGGTCTTAGTCGTGTTCCAGCATGCAGAATCCCTGCACTAGGAGCAAACAATTTAAGTTGCATAAATCATTCGAGATGAGATTGGAAGACATGATTTGTAAAGATGTGCCAACTACTGTGTCATTCAGCAGTTTCTCAATTTCAAATCATTTATTAGATACTATCTAGAGCAGTCGTTTGCTGTATTTTTGATAACTAATTCCATTACTGTTAAAAAAAGGCCCAGGGGCAAAACTTTTACTTATTTTGTTCAAAGAAATACTAGAATTTCAATGTCATGCGGTTTATCCATCTGAAAATAATGACAAATTTATCCATAATACACATACGTGTCTACTACATACCATTAATATGTTTATTTTGGTCAAATATATAAATACTTGTACATAACAAAGCAATTACACTCAAATATTGTTTAAAAAAAAGTACACTCACTTTATTAAGTACACCTGTCCAGCTGCTCGTTAATGCAAATTTCCAATCAGCCAACAATCAGCGAGAAACAACCAAGACGAGGATCCAAGTGCAGGTAAAATAAGATTATTTAACATCATCCCTAGCTAAATATAGGGATAGCTGACATGAAACTGACATGAAGCGCAAGTGTTCCGAAAGACTGCACCGAAGCATGATCTGAAAAACACCCAGGTCATGTGAATAAAGTTTTTCGAAACACTTCACCGAAGCATGATCTGAAACACCCAGATAGAAGGACTAAAGTGTTTCAACGCACCCAGGTCACGTAACAAAAGTGTTTCGAAACACTGCACCGAAGCATTATCCGAAACACCCAGGTCACGGGACAAAAGTGTTTCGAATCACTGCACCAAAACATGATCCGAAACACTCAGGTTAGGTGACTAAAGTGTTTCGAAACACCTGGTCACGTGACTAAAGTGTTTCGAAACACCCAGGTCATGGGACAAAAGTGTTTTGATACACCAGGGGCCTCATGTATCAACGCTGCATACGCACAAAAACTTTGCATACGCCAGGTTTCACGCTCAGAATCGCTCACGTTTGGATTTACTAACGATGAACTGAACGTGGGAATGTGCGCAGCTCCATGCCAGCTTTATGGCTGGCGTACGCACATTTTTTGTACGTGTCTGTTTTATTTCCATTGGCGACTCCTAGAGGCAGTTGTGTTAAATTGCTCTGTACAAAGTGTCTGAGCCTTGCAATGGCAGCTGTATGAGACGGGTTCATCTAGCAGGTATATAAGGTTTCCATACCATACAGTTGACCAGCCAAACATTAAAGCGCAATTTGCAACGGTCGCCTGTTTTCCCATTGTAATGGAAGCGATCTACCGCACGCACATTGCTATAAAGACACTATCTGAAGAATTTGCATGCGTGAATCAGAACCATTTCCATTCAACAAATGTGCAAATATCCAGGTTTGAACCCAGCATCCTGGCCAAACTTGCCCCCTGTCCATTGTGGCGTCCTAACCATCGCCATTTTATAATTGGCTTCATCACTCTGTCTCTTCTCCACCAATCAGCTGGTGTGTGATGTGGTTCAATATGACTGCCGTCGCGTCATCCAGGTAGATGCTCCACACTGGTGGTGGATAAGGAGATTCCCCCCAATGTGTAAAGCGCTTTGAGTGTCCAGAAAAGTGTCAATAATTTTTTGTGTGTGCAGCGTTCCTAAGATATTTAGTGCATGAACTGTGGGTGGTTCATAGGCATGCCTTTGGACACTAAACTTGGGTTATTGGCCGTTCAACAACCAGCTTTCTGTTATCAAACAGCTAACAGGTTATGTGGTTTTGTTTGAGGAAGTATAGGTCAGAACTTGCATCTCTCAGCCCATTAAAATGAGTCAACAATTAGCTCGGGCCTCTTCCCGCAAAGAGTCTGCCTTTTTGTAGTGTTTACATATTTTCAGCCGGTCTCTTTCAAAAGTGCCTTGGCAGTGAATCCTTTTGGAATCTGACACCAGTTTGCTGGAATCAAATCCCTGTCATGTGGGTGATCACAGACTCCAGGTGTGTCTCTCAAAGACGTGGGCAAGAAAGCAACACTTTTTTCTTCAGAACCCTCATGTGCAAGGATTCCCGTCTTGTTTCAGTTAGTTTGGCTATCAGAAGTACTGAACCCCCTGAAAAGGCCCAAAATGCTGGTCAGCAAAGCTTTGGAAACACTCTAGGAGAGGCCTCATGGGGGTCTTCGGATGTGTGCGTCGACATTATTCCCACATTATGCTTCAGATAGGTCACTTAGGAGCCAAAGTAGAATCCTTTGGTTTGGATGGGATGGTTTCGCACTCACACGTGTTGTACATCCAATAGCCTGTATATAAATCACAGAGAACTGGGCTATTCTTGGGCCTTTTGTATATAGTTACTTGAGCAAACCTGGCAGATAAGCACAGACCACCCACGATGGCCCCCACAGCGTGAAAGGACACTTTCTACGCTCCAGAAGTAAGCTGGAAAATCTCGCCAAACATACCGAAGAGTGATTAGGAGTGCAGAAAAGCTGTGTGTTTTGGATCATGCTACTTGTTGTTTTAAACAAGTGCTGTTATTAGTGCTATGTTTGAGGAGCTTGAACTAAATGGCCAGTTATTTTCGTTTATTTCTCCTGCGCTCGTTTATCATTCATGTTTAATTTCTTTTTGGTTTGTTCACAGATGTGAATGAATGTCTCACCGCAAACCCCTGTCAGCATCAGTGCTACAATCTGATGGGCTCGTACATCTGCCAGTGTGAAGTTGGATTCGAGCTGGCTTCAGACTCCGTCTCCTGCCAAGGTTAATTTTTTAAGATATTTATGTTTTAAAAATATGTTAAAACTTTTAAATATGTCATGTTATAGTTTGCTAGGTTATTCCTGAATTTTATAAACAGTGTCTTATAATGCGGACAACTCGGTTCCTAGTGTCTGTAAACAAATTAACAGTCATTTCTAAAACTCAATTCTCAAACTCAGTTCCTGGAGGGCCACAGCTCTGCATAGTTTAGCTCCAACCACCTTCAACTCACACCTGCTTATTAGTCTCTAGTAGTCTTAAACACCTTGATTAGTTGGATCAGCTGTGTTTGATTAGGTTTGGAGCAGAGCTGTGCAGAGCTGCGGCCCTCCAGGAATCTAGTTTGAGACCTATGCTGTAGAGGTAGCTGTTTCCAATGCCTGGCCAAAAAGGTATTCTTCTATGCTGTCGTAGTAAATCAGATCAGTAAAATCATAATCAAGCAGTAACTGAATGCTGATAACATTGTTTAATGTATTATTTGCAATCTGTGTGGATTGTATGCTCAATTCTTATTGGTGCGTCCTTGTTTTCTTTCCTTGCTTCCGTTCAAAGTGTCGTCATTTAATGAATACTCTACACCTCTGATTTTGCTTGCACATTAGGATTCTTGAACATTAGAGATCAATGTTTATATTGTAATAGTTTCCACACAAATGTGTATTTATTTTATTTTACCAGTGATTATAGACAGTGAATTATTCCTAGTTACGACCTGCTTTTTATTTGTGCTAACGAACAATATACATCCAAATTAAAGGAACTGTGAAAACATATCCTACATTCACAATTCCATAGTAGTTACATAGTTATTATTGGTGTAGATGTGGGAGGAGAATTTACAAAGTGCATCATGTTTAGTCAATAAAATAATAAAATCCTCGTTGTGCAATTAGAAAATGTAGATGTCTGACAAGATGGCTGAAGTCTATTGGTTTCTGAGGCATAGGATGGAGGGGCGAAAAAATAGGGAAGCTTATTGAGAAGCACCCTGTGAATACTTTAATCCCTTGTAATGATATATAGAATTTTTAAAATCCATAGGCTCGGTTGTGTATTGTGTAAACTAACCATTTTTACGGCAAAGTGTGACGCATTTAGAGATTTACTAAGTACATTAGTGGGCGACACGGTGGGTATTGCTGTCACCTCACAGCAAGAAGGGTGCTGGTTCGAGTCCCGGCTGGGTCAGTTGGCATTTCTGTGTGGAGTTTGCATGTTCTCCCCGTGTTGGCATGGGTTTCCTTTAGGTGCTTCGGTTTCCCCCACAGTCCAAACACATGCGCTATATGGGGAATTGAATAAACTAAATTGGCCGTAGCGTATGTGTGTGAATGCAATGGGTGTTTTCCAGTGCTGGGTTGTGGCCGGAAGGGCATCCGCTGTGTAAAACATATGCTGGAAAAGGTGGGGTTCATTTGGCTGTGCCTGATAATAAAGGGACTAAGCCAAAAAGTAAATAAATGAATAAATAAGTACATTCCTCACCTCACCAACACATGGTGGCATGCTTTTATAAGCATGTGCTTCATTTATGTTGATCGTCGCTTTTTAAGCTCAAGCTCAATTTGAATTCTGATTCTGTCAATAATTTTATTTTTCCATCAGTGATTTCGATATGATCTCTCCTTGTTGTTAACAATACAGCTGTGGTGTGGACTTTCCTATTCACAGAATTAGAATGTTAATTAAAACTTGATTGTTTCAATTATTGCTAGGAACTGTAGTATATATGTCTAAACCAGGGGTCACCAATCTTGGTCCTGGAGGTCCGGTGCCCTGCAGGGTTTAGCTCCGACTGTTTCAAGTATACCTAGTAAGACCTTGATTTGTCACGACCGGGTCTTGAACCCGGGTCTCTGGTGTGGAAACCGATGTGTATACCACTAAGCCACAGAGGAAGTTGTGTTGGACCCAAACGAACACTCCAAGAGGGAATCCAGAAAACAAGGATTTATTAAAAAAAAAAAAAAAATCAACTTAGGTTCTTCTCAAAAATGAGGTATACAAAATACTCTAACAGTATAATAAACATGTAAAAAAAACTCCACGAGGGGAGAAAACAAACAGATAATTAATGCAGTCAGCAACAAGGAAAATAAAACACTCTTACTAGACATAGCTCAGGAGATCAAGGGAAACGCAAGGCAAGTTCACCAGAGATGACTCAAACACCGAGTGAGGAACACAGACAAAGTGACAACTTAAATACACTGGCTGGAACAAGTCACAGGTGATCTAAATTAAGTAAACAAGAACACATGAGGAAGAACAAATACAGAGGGGAAACACGGGGACCTCTAGGGGAATGGAGACAAACTGCAGGATGGTGACATGATTAGCTTGTTCAGGTGTGTTTGATTAGGGTTGGAGCTAAATACTGTAGGACACCGGCCCTCCAGGAACAAGTTTGGTGACCCCTGGTCTAGACCATGGATGAGCAACTTCAGTGTCCTGTACGGTTTTGCTCTAACACTAATCAAACACACCTGAACAAGCTAAACAGTGTCCTCAAGAACAGTAGAAAGCTACAGGCAAGTGTGCTTGATTATGGTTGGAGCTCAACTCTGTAGGACACCGGCCCTTCAGGACCAAAAATCATTGATCATAGACATTGGCTGTTTCTCAATATGTTTTCTTCAGCATTCTTGCTTCCTCGTGTAACATCATCATCAACTGCCACACTTCAGTTCCAAAACTCAAGATCACAAGAACGGAGGACACGTGAAAGTTCCCGAATGTGTTCTTAATATAATTTAGGTGGGAAGCACAGCATTTAATAGATTTATTATTAATGTTCCGAGATAAATTATTTATCTCAGGAGTTTTACTAAATACGATGCAAATTGTAAACATTACCATGAAAAGCTTAGGGCATAAACACATTAAGGGTGTTTATTTGCTAAAATTCATATTTAAAATGGTTTTTGCGAAGTATATTTGTAAAGTCTTTATGTGTAGTATTTATTGTGAAAAGGGGAAAACAATAAATCGTTGTATGGATGTTGCAATATTTAAATAAAAAACCTGTAAAGGTCATGTGACCATAAGGAGGAACGCAGCGTCTCATTTCTCACAGGATGCGTTCTCTGTTCTCGTGGTTTCCAGAGTTCATTCTTCCAAGGTAACTTGTGTCTCCACAAGAACACAAGTCCGTTCTCAGCATTCTTGGAATTGAGAAACAGCCAGTGTCTCGAAGATCAGTAGAAAGCTTACAGGCAGGTGTGTTTGAATATGGTTGGAGCTTCAACTCTGTAGGACACCAATCCTTCAGGACCGAAGTTGCCCATCCCTGGTCTAGACATTGGCTGTTTCTCAATATGCGTTCTTCAGCGGTCTTGCATGCTTGTGTAACGTCATTATCATCTGCCACACTTAAGTTCTAAAACTCAAGACCACAAGAAAGGAGAATGTGAAATTTGTTGTGTTTTTGATATCGAGGACGAAACGATGCAGACTTGAGTGCAAAATTTGCTCAAGAAGTCCCAGAAGTCATTGCGACTGAATAATGGAGGTGGGAAGTGCAGCATTTAATATAGGTTTATTATTGAATTTCAGAGATATAACTTATTTATCTCAGGAGTTTCCCTAATTAAGACGGTGAAAGTAAACATTACCATGAAAATCTTAATAAAGGCATGAACACATCAAAGGACTTTATTTGCTGAAATATTAAAATCAGTTTTATTTGTATTGTGCAACATCTATTTGTAAGGTCTTTACGCATAGTATATATTGTGAGAATAAAAAACAATAAATTGCTTTATGAATGATGTAATGTTTAAATAATTTCTGTTAAAAAAAAAAACGTGAAGGTTATGTGACCATCAGGAAGAACACAGCATCTCATTTCTCACAGGATGCGTTCTCTGTTCTCATGATCTCCCGAGTTCGTTCTTTTGAGGTAACTTGTGTCTACACAAGAACAGAAGTCCGTTCTCAGAGTTCTTGGAATTGAGAAACAGCTATTAATTTGAAAAGTAACTACAAATATTCTCCTGTAAATAGCATTATTTTGATCACGAATAATTGCCACAGTGATTTTCATTCTTATTCACAATTTACAGATATCAACGAGTGTGAAATCTCCAACTACATTTGCCAGTTCCAGTGTGTGAATGAACCTGGAGCGTTCCACTGTGCTTGTCCAGAAGGATACCAGCTCCAAGGGCCACGCATGTGCCAAGGTATAATCCAATTACATTTGTATTTAAGACACTTGTATATGCTGTATATTTCACGTCAAGATACACATATCACCAGTTCCTGCTGTCCCTGGGAATCAAAGATATCCCTGGCGTTGCTTCCACAATGCTCCACTGTCTGAGCTACACCCAATTGAGGGCTCCTGAAATGGTTTCTAGTGATTCTCACTGACTTTTTATGTTAATAGATATAGACGAGTGTGAAACAGGAGCACACAACTGCAGAGAAGATGAAATGTGTTGGAATTACTATGGAGGTTTCCGCTGCTATCCCAGAGACCCCTGCCGTGAGCCATACGTGAAAACAGGCGAAGGGTGTGTCAACGTTCCTCATAAATCATACTCTGTTGCAATAAAATAAAACGTGCTGTGTGATCTAATTCACAAATCTGTTTTACAAAACTTCCAACAGTCGCTGTAGGTGCCAGTCACAAACTGTTTGCCGTGGACTGCCGCCGGTCATTGTCTACAAGTACATGAGCATCTTCTCCGATCGATCAGTGCCTGCAGATATCTTCCAGATTCAGGCAACTAGTGTCTATCCCAACATGGTAAACACATTCACAATCAAAAACGGCAATGAGGGAGGAGAATTCTACCTGAGGGTAAGATGACAAATTTAAGTTTTTAAACAGTGACCTCCAATCCTAAATCTGTGATTACGGCTTTGTATTTTTTATTAAAAAAAAGATGAACAGATACTTGCCTCAGTTTCAATCCTTGGCAAAAAAAGGTTTTATGTCTACCTTGTTACTTTTGGGTTGAATGCCTGATTAAATGGAGGTGTTTTTGAGTGTACGATACTATATAGGTCAATGATTGTAAATGTGTAACTGATAAATATTTACTTTATTGTGATTATATATGCCTCATTTCTACTGAGTGGTATGTTTCAGTTTCTGTATGTTTACATTACAGTATGATTTGATATAGGTCACCCTTATCAGGCTTTTGCTTCTGCTGCCAACAGTACTCTTAAGCCTGGTTTTTACTTCTGCGTCAAGTGACCGGCGTAACTCACGGCGCAGGCAATGCGCACCGCTGTGCATTTATACTTCTGCGCGCTGTCTCTGTTGCTCTGCATTAACACTTCCGAAACGCTAGTTGGCAGTGAGGTGTAAATGTTCCTCTGTGTCGAGTTTCTTCGCTGCTGTTTTGCTTTTCCTGAACACTTCCGGGATGTACAAGTGACTCAAACTCGCTCATTTTGAGGCAGGAACCGGCGGACGTGCAACAACTTTAACTATGAGGTAAACACAAAACAAAACTTTCCATCCGGAGCTCCTTCACGGGACTCCACACTTGTAAACAATCGCTCGCGCCATTCGCACAGCTCTCGGTCCCGCCCAGACTCGTCAGCGCTACCAAGCCGACCAATCAAAGAGCTTGCACTACACGTTGTTGCGACGTGTAGTTACATTTTTTGAGAGGTGCACGTCAGTGACGCCGACTGCCACGGCGAAGGGCTATGCGTCAGTGCCGTAGCATACGCCGGTGTTTGACGCAGAAGTATAATACTCGGTGTTTGACAGAAAAACGCAATTGAAGTCATTCTTTCTGTATGGGTCATTCACAAAATGTGTTTTTTGCAAACTTTAGATCATTATTGAAAACATAGACGTGCAGCAAATGAAAAAAAATAGAAAGAGTAAGCAACACCCTTGTACTTTCTATACATTTGGATGCAATGTGAACAGACCATAAACAACAATAGGGGACATACTGGAGATCCTGTTCTTGCTTCTTAGCATGTGGCTGTTTGTCACAAGAAGAACCAAGCTTTGTTTGAGCTCGGGTTGACCATGGTTCATTGCTGTGCACTATCATTGTATTACTACGATGATTTGTTTCAGCTGTGTATTTAAAAATGAAGCTTCCTGTGTTGTAGTTCCCCTGGCTTGTTGTACGCACAAGTGATGGTTCTCTGTTAACTTGTATAAGTTGTGTAAGTCTGTGCATTCAACAGCGAGTCTTGCTTCACCCTTTTGGTACTATACTATTATGCTAGGTATCCTTGCGAAGTGGTTCTGTTCACTATTTTGATACCTTTTATCATGGAAACTGAAATAATTAGGTACTGTACTGTAGGAAACCGTACTGCTCAGTGGAAAATGAGCCATTAGGAACTGTCTTGATTAAGGGTGCTTTTACACTAGCACTTTTGGTCCGCACCCGGGTTCGTTTGACATCAGAGTACAGTACGTTTAGCTAGTGTTAACTAGTTCTTCGGAACTTGGGTGCGCAGCCACGAACCGAATCACAGACATGCACACACACAGACACACAAATCGATGTTACGAAAACAAAACAGTTGGCGGTTCACTTCCATTATTTGGTACAATTGCATTTTATACCAGAAGTGAACCTGACCAGTGTTCGGTGGACTCAGGTACGGTTCACGAGTGTGCACCCAAGTTCAGAAGACACATTTACACTAGCTAAAGTGTAATGTCAAATCGCCACAGCCATATCACCCTGCAGCCCAAGACCGGTTACTTACTGAAGCTAAGCAGGGCTGAGCCTGGTCAGTACTTGGATGGGAGACCACTAGGGAACACTAGGTTGCTATTGGAAGTGGTGTTAGTGAGGCCAGCAGGGGGCGCTCAACCTGTGGTCTATGTGAGTCCTAATGCCCTAGTAAAAGTGAAGGGGATACTACACTGTCAGTGAGCGCCGTCTTTCGGATGACACGTTAAACTGAGGTCCTGTCTCTCTGTGGTCATTAAAAATCCCATGGCACATCTCGTGAAAGAGCAGGGGTGTAACCCCGTTGTCCTGGCCAAAGTCCCTCTATCGGCCCATACGATCATGGTCTCCCAATCATCCCCTTCCACCGAATTGGCTCGATCACTGTCTCTCCACTCCACCAATAGCTGGTGTGTGGTGAGCGCACTGGCGCCGTTGTCCTGTGGCTGCCATTGCATCATCCAAGTGGATGCTGCACACCGGTGGTGGTGTGAAGAGACCCCCCTCATGCTTGTGAAGCGCTTTGGGTGTATGGCCGTATACATTAAATGCGCTATGTAAATACACATTACATTACATTTACATTACAAATAAACCCGGGCGTGAACCAAATGTGCTAGTCTGAAAGCATTCCCAATCTTTCATTGTTCTTTTTTCTGTTCCTGCTGTAACACCTTAATTTTCCTGAAGAATCTTCAAAGGAAGTATAAGTTAAAGATGAATGCCAAGGTGCCAAATAAAAGCCTTTGCTGTCACTGACCAAGAGCTGATTATTCTTAATCAATACTCTTCCTTTTTGGCATTTTTCTGTAAAATACATAAAAATAAATTGTTACAACAGTTAAACTTGACAATATAACTGTAAGAATGTTAAAACTGATAAGACACTTACCTCACTTTTTCCATACTGATTTAGTGCCAACCAGCCCTACATTTAAAGTGTTTACGGGTTTAATGATATTAGAGTTGAAGATCAGTAAAAATAGATTAATAATAATAATAAAGGCACCTTCAGCACTGCTCAGCACCATATTATTTGGAGTCAGCATTCTTGTGTTTTTTGCCAAGAAAAAAATTTCTGTAAAAGACAACATTTTTTAGAGTTCTCAAGCTTGACAACATAACGGCAACTATAATAAAAAATAACAGAGACTGTAATAGATACTTACTTATGTTTGAACCCTGCAATAATTTTCCCAAACAGATTTAGCATCAGCTGGAAGGGTATCTGTAGAGTAATTGGTGGTTCTTTCACCTGTGGTGATCCCTGATATATCAGGGACTAAGTCAAGAGATAGTGAGTGAGATTTAGCATCTGCTTTGCTACAATTTAACTTTTGTTGTAGAATGTCACAGGTGTAAAGATTGGCCTGAATGTACAATAGCGCCCTTAGCAGTGTCCAACACAAGATTATTTGCTGTCAGTATTCTTGTGTTTTTATCAAGAAAATTATAGTTTAGTGATTGGTTTCTCTTTTGTCTTTCAGCGCTCCAGCAATGTAAGTGCCATGTTGGTAATGACCAAACCCTTGACTGGACCTCGAGAACATGTTGTGGATCTGGAGATGGTCACCCAAAGTAATGTCTTGTCCTACCGTTCAAGCTCTCTGCTGAGACTCACCATTGTTGTGGGTCCATACCCTTTCTAAATCCTCTAGATTGATCAAATCAGCACTTTGGATTTATGTATGTACTGCAGCTTACTGTGTTCAAAATGTTCATCAAAGCATGGTCACCTGTTTGTCCAGATCAGTGGTTCTTACCTGGTTGGTTGCAAAGCGATAAATGGTTCAGAAACTTATTAATAGACTTTTAGAGGTTTTATAAAGATAAATATTTTGTAAGATACGCCATATGTTGACAATTTTTATACTGTGTTGGGTCGCCATTTAATATCCAATGACCTGAAACTTCCTGGGAACTGCTGGTCTAGATAGTCACATTTTTATTACAAACAGGAATCAGTTTACTAATCATCAAAAAAGTGGGTTTTCAGGTTTGTTGACGTTTCTAAGTCATTTATATTTGGTCTGACTGGGTGATGTGAGGCCCTTGAATATCTGAAGAACAACACTACTGGTGACCAGAAAGAAACACAATTACAAAGTTTTACTCTGAATAGCACTTATAGGTTCTTTGTCTTGGTAGTAAGAGTTTTGAAAGATCCTCCTGCATTGGATGCTTGTTTTAAAAGGGTGGTTTATCCAAAAAGTTAGCCTGTCATCATTTAATCACCATATGTTATACAAAGCTCTTATAATTCCTTTTGCATCTAAAACTGAGGTGAAGTGTGTCCGTTTGCATACAGTGAATGTCAGGCAGATCCTATTGAGTTACAAAAACAAAACGCATAAAAAAAACCAGTCTACACTACTCAAATTTTTAGAACAGACAATAAAATCAACATGGGTTCATTCTGAAAACGTAGCTCTATATACGTTTCTATAGAATTATGTAGCCAGAGGAACGTATGGCTGCATTTCGTTTTTAAAACCAACGCTACGGTGCCGTTTCTTTTCTCGCTTACAGCTGACTGCTTACCTTTGTATGGATGCTTGTCCAGTTACCAGTTTGTCCAGTTAGCTTGCCATGTACGTCGGTGGACTTAGGACACAGAGAGGAGTTGACCACGACGACAGGGTTTGAGTCCGGTGAAGAAGCTCTCAAAGCTCTAAAATTTCACTGACATGAAATCTACATATTCAAACTGATACACCACAACTGGTTGAATGCCACATCAAACAGTCAATAATTTAGGTTTGTTAAGTGCAGTTACATTAACATTTTTAAAGGACAGTAGCATATAGATGTATGAACTAACAGATGTCACTTTCAAAGAAATCAGCGAATAATGAGTGCAGAGCTTTTTTAATTTCCGGATTCTGCTTGACAACTGTGCGTTCACATTGAAAATCAATCCATGGGAACACTGAAGCACTCTCTGTAACACAAAACTATCAAATAGCTACAGAAGGCTTACAATAACATACAAAAAGTAGTGGAAAGAGTAATGAAAAATCATACCATTACTTGCCTAAAATGTAGTGCAAGTAGAGTATAAGTATCTGTTTTCAATATTACTCAAAGTATGAGTAAAAATTAGACCTTTCAAAAGTACTCAAGAGTAGAGAATGGTGAAATGCTGATGCATTTACATGTAATTTTTGGATGTGTGTGTAAACGTAACATTCTGTAGTGCATTTAGTTATCGCCCAGCAGGCACATCAACATCATAAGACGTTAATATTAGGTTGTAATGTCAGGTGACCAAAATTCAATGTTTAGCCAGCGTCTAAGGACAACGGTATATGATGCCCAATAACAACTTTAAATGACGTTGAAATTTTGGTTGATTTTAAGTTGTGTTAGAAAGTGACCAAAATCCATTATCGAGCTGACATCTTAAACCAACATATGGATGTCAAATACTGACATTTACTCGTCAGGTATGGAAGCCAAAATACAACATCTGATAGAAGTCAAAGCGGTAACGTCCACACAACGTGAAACTGTAACATCATTAGACGTTACGATTTGGTTGCTTTTAGATTGGACATTGACAACGTCGGCCTGACGTTGGGTTCTGATATCAACCCGAGGTTCATTTCCAAACAAAATGCAAAGTCCCCTTGACGTTGGGGTACCCTTGACTTGTGCCTGCTGGGTGTTTACGTCCATTTTGGTTATCACAGTAATCCTCCGTCATCTTCTCATCAGTGACATGCATCTTAACAAGCTCTAGGTCAATGCATGTGAAGATTTTGGACATCTTTATAGACACTTTTAATGCTTCTTAACAGTTTGCTGCGATTATAAAGCACTCACGTCTTAAGGTAGTTCATTATGATGCGATTTACCTTCTATGTGTGATTTGATTGGACTTACAGGACTGATTTGTCTAAACCCCATAGACAAGAAAAAATAAAGTAGTGACTCAAGTTGAAAGAAAGTGCAGTGATACAGCACTAAAAATGTACTCAAAAGTACACATTTATAAAACTACTTAGTAAATTACAATTTCTGAGAAAAACTACTCAATTATAGGAGTTTAAGTATTCTTAATTAGTCACTTTACACCACTGCATATAAGTGACATGGACCTCTTTTATGGTGCATTTTAAGTAGACGTTGCTTTCTTGCGTAAAACATATGACAGATTTTCGTTTTTGAATAAGCCGAACTTTTAACCTGCCAATAAGTCAACACTTTTACATTGCTCATACATGGAACATGGAGAAGCAAAATGTACTTTAGTGCTTATAGATTTCTTACATTTTTAGCCAGGGGAAAGTGTTTTGTTGGTGGAACATGTGGATAAGGCAAACAGAACTGCATAGGGTTAGGTGGAACAGTTTGTGTTGTAATCTAATGGCATCCTTAGCTAATGGAAATCTCTGATGCGTCCTCCGCCTTGCGAATACTCCAGAAATGACCTCCTATCCTATGAGAATAAGGCAATAATGTTTTGGAAACAGAAGTGATGTTTTCAGGAAATTGCTGGCAAGGGTTTTGGGTCGCATAAGCAATGGAACTCTTGCCTAACATGTCTGTATGTTTGCCAGAGCAGCGTTTGATCTTCTGCAGTGTTTCGTGTTGATGGTCTGTGACAAACACTGTTACTTAAACCGTTGCGTCACGCTCGGCGTCCCCAGGGACATGGTGGTGGGTGAAGCCAAAATGGTTCGAGCACCACCATGTTATATGCAATTATTTGGCGAGCGATCTCTGCATCGAGACTTCGTATTGCAACTTAATATGCTTACAAATCAAATCTGTATGTTTTCTAATCAGTGACTTTGATTCAGTGAGTTTGAATGCTCCCTGTTCATTCTCTTATTGAGATCATCTAAATTGATGTGGACTGGTTGTTCCTGCTCACTGAAGACAACGAATGTCTAAAAAATGGATTTGAATCTTACGTTCAGGAATTATCTGTATTGTTTATCATTATGCTCTCAAGTTGCACTGTTTTTACTCATTCATAGTGCCATTTATTCTGCTGTAAAGTGTTTTGGAAATAAATATAAATTCAAAAACTGTCGTTTTGTTTTGCTTATTACTTTGCTTAACACATCTATATATTTCCAGATGTGCATCAAAACAAATGTAGCACATGTAATGCTCATGTTCTCAAATCTAATCTTCTGCTAGTATTGCATAACGTGCATGGGTCAGTTTGGTATATTCCTGGAACAGTTTAAGAGGACCACCAAGATTCATCTGCAGTTATTACCTCCTGCGGTTGCAGATGGGAATATGTAACTATGTGATGTTGTCATGACAATAGTTGAGCAGTTCCTGTAAGAATATTTACACACTAATAGCCAAGTGGCTTACAGAAAACATGTGAGCATTACATGAACTGTGTTTTTGCTTAGACCTTTATTATAATTAAAGAAACGTGGAGTAAACATGAACGCATACACAAAATATTTACCATTATGACTGGAAATTGAATGTTGATCTTTTTGAGAACCTGGTGTTTAATGGATAAAATGAATATTTTATTAGGACGCCACCTTTCTGATGGTTTTATACGAGTACTGAAAGGTTGTATGTATCAGAACCAAAGACTTTTGAGACACTTCCATATTTGAGTACTATGCCACCTCACATACACTACCCTCGCTCCAACTGTATTTTAAGTGGAACGTTTCAGTATTGACTTGTCCCAAGCTCTAATACTGATTATATCAAAAAATAGTTTTGGTTAAAGGGTTTGCTAATATAATATCTAATATTGATCACATATTCATCACAGCAGAAATTACACTGAAATTAGGTAATAAAGGGGACGACACCGTGGCGCAGTGGGTATGTCACCTCACAGCAAGGATGTTGCTGGTTTGAGTCCCAGCTTGACCAGTTGACATTTCTGTGTGGAGTTTGCATGTTCTCCCAGTGTTTGCGTGGGCTACAGTCCAAAGTTCCCATAGCCCAAGCACATGCGCTATAGGTGAAATGAATAAACTAAATTGGTCGTAGTGTATGTATGTGCATGAGAGTGTATGGGTGTTTAGCAGTGCTGGGTTGCGGCTGAAAGCGCATCCACTGTGTAATAATATATGCTGGGTAAGTAGGCTGTGGCGACCTCTGATTAATAAAGGGGCTAAGCCGAAAAGAAAATGAATGGATGAAAATGACAAAGAGGTGAGTTGTCCAATTTAAAACAATACTCATTTTCAGGTTTGGTTTTACTATGAGTAATTGTGACTGGGTTCGAACCAAAGACATTTGAGAAACATCGCTTTTTCAGTTTAGTATTGGATTAAAATAATTTTATTAACTCATCCCAATTCAAAATATTTAAAACATAGCTATTATAAGGGCAGCGTTGTTAGTTGTTCTCTGTTTAACGCTTTAAATGCCCCACCATGAAAAAATTGGAATTTCATTTAAGTCCTAATGTCGCTAGTTAACATACTCAATGCATTTTTTTTCAACACATCCCATAATTTCTAAAATATCCACCTCAACCAAATGGTTTATATGTCGATTTATGGTTAAAATACCAAAATTATTACATATACTATAAAAAATCTGAAAATATGAAGTGTAAAGCCAATCTATATTTTTAAAAAAATGTATGTATATATATATATATATATATATATATATATATATATATATATATATATAAACTAAATCATCTTTATTTTTTGAAGTATGCCATAAAGTATTTCAGATTCTCATTTAACATGTTTTGTTGTTGTTGTTTTACCATAAAACCAAAATTTAGTGTAGTAGTGTAAAAGGATTATGTTTGTTTGATTTTTTGTCTACAATGCTGTGTGTGTAAACCATCATTTAAAACAGTCATTCTGTAAATTACTTTAACAGTCATTATTTAAAACAGTTAAAATATGGTCAACTATTTGGTAAAGCAGGCAGTTAAAGAGTTAAGGAGTTTATTATTTGTATATCTATCATGGAAGAAATAACACGCAAGTAATTATTTTTATTTGTAAGTTGATCAGTGGAAAGAAATGCCAAAATAGTTTGTTGTGAGGTTGGATAGCTTACAAAGGTGTTTGAGAAACATATTTGAGCACTATGCTAACTCAAATACATAATACTGGAGTATAACTTGTTTAAATGTACCTTTAAACTTTTAAAACGGCGATTCTTTAGCAACAACATTGAGCCTTTTCTACATTTAAAAGGTTTGCTAATACATTTATTTTATTTATTACATTATTTTTATTTGTAAGTGTTATATGGATGGAAAAAGCAAAACGACTTAATGTTATATCTCCCAATATATAACGTAACAGCTTCATCTGCTGGTAAAACGGAGTAGCGCATCATTTGCACAGCTCCCACAGAGCTGAATTTGACGAGTTTGCCCTAAATTTAAATTAAGCGGTCACGCTGTCAACTTATATTAGGTTTTAAAACTCAATCAAGTACATTTGATTTACCTTTTCTCATATTTCTCCTCAAAAACGCGGCGTTTTGTCGTTATATATTACTATTCAGTTCTGAGGTAAAACACATTTGCTAGCTAGTTCGTTGTGTATGACGTAAATCATTTGTGTCAGCCAAATGACACATGAGCCAATCGCAGGGTCGGAGAGGTTTGCGTAACCAATCGCAGCGCAGCACTGTGACTCACCATACATGGACAGCCATCACCATATAAGGAAACATCGACTCGCTTTATATGGAGGAAAGTAGATCTTTAGACGAACGTCTCGTGAGTTAAATTATCAAAATAAGCAATATTTTAATAATTATTTTCCCCAGAAAACGTTAAACTTAATATTTGACCAAAATAGTGCTTTTTATGAGCTAATAACGTATTATGTAAAACAATATCGACGTTTAAGCAGAGAACTATTTTTAAAGGCGGAGCTGCATTGCGCGGTCGCGATTCGTCGTTTCCAAATGTGGCAAGCGCAGCGTAAGTTCAGTCGAGGTTTGATTGATGGACTGTAGGCGGAAACTATATGTTGTAAACTTTGTACGGTGGTCGTAAAGGGCTAGTTTTGCAGGTTTATTTCTGTCGTTTACGAGACCCTCAAATCCTGACTTTCATACTGAAACAAATCCATCCGTAACCAGAAATAGCGCTTGCCTGCTTTAAGTTGTCCGCTGAGTTGAGCTAATGTTTCTTAGCCTAGCATATGTGAGGTAAGTTCGGTTTTGGGTCTGGATTTGATCTGGGATCTGCTGCACAGATCGCTAACTTTACACCCACCGCAGACCGCCGTAGTGCCGCTTGCAGGTCAGCGATGTTAGGGGGCAACGGGACGGCCAGAGGGGCTGGACGCTCTGGTAATGGCACGGGATTGACACCTCTACAGGTGGGCAGCACATCTGGGGCTCTGGGGGCTGTAAACTCTGTCATAAACCTGCCCGATGGGGGCAGATACGACGACGGGCCGTCGGTCGAGGCTGTGCTGAGCGGCTCCGATGGAGACTCAGACTCCGGGGACGATGAAGAGAGCCCTGTGCCGGACAGGAGAGGGGTGAAGCGGGAGAGGAGCGAGCTGGAGGTCGGGGGATCTTCTGGATCTAACGCCGCACTCTCGGCAGGATACGGAGGGGTCTCCAGCGGGGTGGCCGGAGCGAAGCCCGGCAAGAAAACGCGAGGACGGGTGAAAATTAAGATGGAGTTTATTGACAACAAGCTGAGGAGATACACGACCTTCAGCAAGAGAAAGACTGGCATCATGAAGAAGGTATGTTCATGTGTCTTCTGCTGTTAGTCTGGAACTGATTGTACCACTGCTGTTCTACTGCTGTACTGATGCTAGTTTTACACCAGTGCTAAACCTCTATGCTAATATTAGCACTACAACTACTAGTAGTGCCATGCCAATACGTTCTTCAGTAACTGGTACTCTAGTAAACTTTAGTATTTACCTCATTGTGCTTTGATTAATTCTGTATAAATAATAGTACCACTAACATTACTATATTCAGGATTCCCACTGGTCATGCAATTGTAAAAGCTCTATCCCACATCCTGAAAGTCAGGGAATTGTATACATTTTTGGTATTACTTTAGGTTATCACATATTTATAATTATGACATTGGTTGTTTTTTAGTAGTTATAAAGTATCGTTTTATTCAACATCCTTAAACCTACCAATACCTAAACCATAGCTCTCAAACTCAATTCCTGGAGGGCCACAGCTCTCAGTTTTACTTCAACCGTAATCAAACACAACTGATTCAACTAATCAAGGTATTCAAGACTACTAGTAGAGTCTATTAAGTTGGTGAGTTAGAGATGGTTGGAGCTTAACTGTGCAGAGCTGGGGCCCTCCAGGAATTGGGTTTAAGACCTCTGACCTAAAGCCAACTTCTTACTAACAGTTAATTAGCAGCAAATTAGTACCTTAGTGAGAAAAAGTCTTAGTTAATGGTTTGTTTATAACAATAATTGTACCTTAAAATAAAGTGTAACCATTTTTATTGGCCCAAGTCATTGAATAACAGGGATTGTTGTTGTATTTCTTATTTCTTTACATTTATCATTTGTTTTTTAAAGTCAAATTATATTCTTCTCCCGTTTGTCAGCTGGGATAAGTCCTAGGGTGCTATCACACCTGCCTTATTTAGTTCGGTTGAATCGCGCTAGAGTTCGTTTTCCCTCTTGGTGCGGTTCGTTTGGGCAGGTGTGAATCTAACAATCGTACTCGAGTGCGCACCAAAAGCGGACCAAAAAAGCATAGCAAGACCCCTTAGAGGAGGTGATCTCGGTACGCTTTCAAACTAACCCTGGAGCGGTTCGTTTGTGGTGAAAATATGATCCGAACCAAAACAGACTCAACTGTAAAAAGTTCTGCGCCTTTTTGGACTAATCCAGCTGCCGTTGGCTGATGCTGTGCATTATAGGATGTGGAGGAAAAATATTTGTTGACAGTGCTTTACCAACAGAGAGAGAGGGAAAAACGTTATCTGATGGATCGTCGGTAATGTGTCACAGTTTAGCTAAATTAATTCACACCTTCTCTCGAAGTGACGTGGGATGCGCCTCCGCTGTTTGCAATGCCTTAAAACAGTGGTTCTCAAACTTTTTTCGCCAAGTACCACCTCAGAAAAAAAGTGTCTTTCCAAGTACCACCATAATGACTGGAATTGAAATACATGGTAGACCTAATTAAGCCGCTACAGCTCTGCACAGTTTACAAACATGGCAAATTAATTCTTAGTATTATAAATATTTATTATTGTCTGCCACATAATAAAAAGTTTGAACAATAACACACTTACAGGTTAAAAAAAAGATAAATAAAACATCAACGTTTTAATTAAAATTTTATTTTAAAAGTTTTTACTTGAATAATTCAGCGATTCCTCCGCGTACCATTTGAAGGAAGCCAGTGCATTGATAATGACCAAAAACACATTGAATGAGCAATTTTACCCAATAAATGCATCGATAATATCCACTGATTTTTAGATATTCAATTAAGTGAACTTAAACGATTAGAATGGCAACAAATATTTAGTTGAACCCAAACTACAAAAAAAACATTTAAAATAATTTTAAACTAGTTTTAAACTAGTGGGGTTTTGAAATCAATTAATGCAAATAATCGAAACAACTGTAAAGCCATGATTATTTCTAAGACTATAAGCGTACAACCAAAATTTATAATCGTTGCATCCCTATTTTCAACTGGTTCGGATTAAAGCAATCAGTTTGGTGTGAAAACAACCCAAAAACGGCAGAAAATGCTACAATGTGTCATTTGTTGCCCTTGGTCCGGACCAAATGACCGAACTACAGATGTAAAACCACCCTTATGCACATAAGTCAAAATGCAATCCCCAGGCTTTACCTGTTAAATACTGTCTATATTTTGTGTCTGCCCAGTGCTCAACCCAGCAGAAGGTATAATAAACCTTAAAGACGTCACAGAAATCAAGCATTTTGCTATTTAGTCAGTAATATTCACATATTTTGACATTTGGTTTAAACTGGGAGCCCTGTATATGATACTAAATCTGTAGAAATAGTTCCACTTAATTGATCCTAGAGCTACAGTAGAGATGCTAGCTTAGATAGTTTAAATTAATACATATTCTAACACTTCACAAAAACTCTACCACTAAATATAAAAATACTTCATTTAAAACATTAATAATATTAGTGTCAATGGTTTGAACTCATGAAACTGATTCTATTATTGTAAAATAACAGTGTAAATTACAACATTGGTGTTAATTCTATTGAAGTAGTAGTATCACTAGATAATATTGTAAAATTTCAGATACTAACTCTTTTTAAGTACCAGTATTTGCTTAAAATCATACTGCTGAGAAATACCTTTCTTAAATCTCAAAATCAAAGTTGTAGACTTTAAAAAGTCTCAAATTTACTGAAATATTGTGTTGTAGGTCTTAAATCTTTTTTTAAACAGGTCTTAATTTTCATTTGTTCATGTATTGCTATCCAATCTGGCCAAAACCCATAAAATCACCAACAATCCATCTCAAAACTTTAAACTTTTTTTTTATTATTTAAAAGTTAATTTTTAACTCTGTTTATCATAATGGTTTAATTATTTTCCTTGTAATAACATTTGTTTAGAAGTGGTCCATGTATTTACTGTTGAGGACACTGACCTGGACAGGTTGTTGTGCATAGATTAGGTTTGTTATAGTTTTTAAAACTTTTAAAACATTTGTTCATTTTTTTTATTTCAAAGAAAGTTTATGTTGGAAAAAAAACTTGTATGGATACAAGTAGAGCTTGCTTAATTTTACACAATATTTAAAATATTTTACTTATAAATATCTAAAACATTTGAATTCTTTATTATTTGTTTATTATTGTACTATTGAATGCATCAAATTATTATAATTTCTTTCGATAGGGCAAATAAAAATCTTTTCCATCTGAGCCATTTGTAAATTTCCTTAGCCTTTAGCTCTTTATGAGTCTAAAATTTCATTCATACTGGTCCTGAAATATCTTAATGTCTTAAATTTAACTTGGTGAAACCTGCAGAAACCCTGATATTAGTAAATCAGTTCTAATACTCAAAGTACTCAACTAATGTTTAATATTTATGTTGATTTTAACACAGTGATAATATTAGTATCTCTTTTGCTAATGCTATATCACTACTAGTTATTTATAATGGTGTTTTACCAATGCTTGTACCTTTTACACTGTTTGAGGTATAGGTTCTGAATCATGCTTGTTTACTTATGTTATATACGCTGACTGTACCATGCTAGTTACATGACATTTGTGTTTAAATGTGTTTTACTGCTCCTGCTAAACCATGATACGCAAGCACTGTTGTTGGTGTTATAATTACCACCCACGCATGTTCTGTAATACTGCAAGCAATTTTATAATTTGCATTATTAGTGGTATATGCTGAGATAATTCAATATACTGAAGATAGTAGTTTTATTATTAATGCTGCCATACTACTTTTGTAGTTCTACCACCAGTACTTTACAAATCAACATTGTATGGCCACAACCATATCATCTTGCAACCCAAGACTGGTTACTCACTGAAGCTAAGCAGGGCTGAGCCTGATCAGTATCTAGATGGGAGACCACAAGGGAAAACTAGGTTGCTGTTGAAGTGGTGAGGCCAGCAGGGGGCGCTTAGTCACTTTTGTGTGAGTCCTAATGCCCCAGTATAGTAAAGGCAACGCTATGCTGTCAGTATGCGCCATTTTTCGGATGAGATGTTAAACCGAGGTTTTGACTTTGTGGTTATTAAAATCCCATGGCACTTCTCGTAAAGAGTAGGGGTGGCCAAATTCCCTCCATCAGCCCTGATCCTGCATAGCCTCCCAATCATCCCCATTAACCAATTTGGCTCTATCGTATATATACCAATTGCTAGTGTGAGGTGAGCGCACTGGCGCCGTTGTCCTGTGTAGGGCTGCACGATTAATCGAAAAAAGATCACGATCTCGATTCGACCCTACACACGATCTTAATTCAGCTTTTCTACGATTCAGTCAATTATATTTTCAAGGTCAGGAGAGAAGCTTAAAGGCGGCCGCACAGGTCCTTACAGGAACATGAACACCTTCAAATGGCGTTAAAAGTGTCACATACTGTATTTATAAGGTATAATTTACCCAGAAATGTCATTTCTGTCTCATGTAAGGATTTATTTGCGACAAAATCACATGTGAGCTGACCACGAGTCACCGAGAGTGCGTGCACGTAGCACGCCAATGACGGCTACTTTAGTGAACAGAACCTGCATATGCTGTTAATAACAAGTTATAAAGTTGTAAATAACGTTCAGTTTGTTGCACAGTGATCGTTTGAGAGCCGCGTTGAAAGAATGATTTGCATGTGTGTGTGTTTTATCACAGTGATGGCAGCCATAAGCCGCACTGGAAAGTGAAAGTGAAACCTGTGCGCACATCATTTAAATGGTCATAACGCATTTTACAGTTATAATTACGACAGGCATTTGATGTGTTTTTTTTTCTTTCATAGCTAACAGTGTTGTGCATGAAAATAAATGTTTTACAGTGTCAGTATAGCTACTCTAGCTTATATAATGTTGAATATAATGCAAAAATGTCTGTGAAATGTCTGATTTTACCAGTGAAAACAAATGGTCTAATGATGCTGACAATGACAGATGACAAGCACGTCTTAAACATAATAATTCAACTTTATAATTATGAATAGTTGTATTCTGATGTGGGCGAGGCAGTGGCGCAGTATGTAGTGCTG